TTCTCCAAGTGTGGTACCAGGACCCTCACACCTGCCTGGGTAGCTTGTTGAGGGATACAATGTCTTGGGTTCCATACTGAGCCTACAAAGTCAAGATCTCTGAGGATGGAGTAAGGAAATCATTTTTAACCAGTGTCCAGATTATTTTTATGATAACAGTTTGAAAACCACCAATACCCTGTAACTGCCCTCAGCTGTCATAAAGGAAAATGACATTTGTTCATCAGTAATTATCTGTGTTAACACTCCAACTAGAGAAGTTCTCGTCTTGGGATCAGTTAAAATCAACTAGAGAAACTGACATGAAAGATGAACTCTTGATTAAGCCCCAGTGATTTCGTATTTAATAGGCCTAGGAACATACTGTGTGTATACTGAGGTTAAAAGGCACGCTTGGGGAGGCAGACACTTCAGGATAAATTGAGTTTATACCCCTTATTGGTCATGGGAGCTTGTGCAGGAACCTAAAATCTGTATGGCTTGGCTATCTAAACTTTAAAATGAAAATGATAGTACCTACTTCATGGCATTGGTAGTTTGATTGGTTTTTTAAAATAAATTTATACTCTCTCCCATATTTCTCCCAACCTCAGCCCCCACCTCTGTCAGTAATCACCAATCTGTTCTTTGTATTATCAGCTTGCTTTTTTTTTCAAGATCACACATGTAAACGAGATTATACAATAGTTGTTCTCCTTCTGACTTATTTTACTATAATAATGTCCTTGAGGTCCACCTGTGTTGTCACAAATGATAAAATTTCATTCTTTTTCATGACAGAATTATAGATAACATACACACACATTTTTTTGGATCCATTCACCCATCAATGGACATCTAGGTTGTATCCATATCATGGCTACTACAAATACTGCTGCAGTGAACATAGGGGTGCATATATCTTTTTGAGCTAGTGTTTTGGTTTTCTTTGGATAAATACCCAGAAGTGGAATTGCTGGATCATATGATAGTTTTGTTTTTAATTTCTCGAGGAAACTCTATACTGTTTTCTCTAGTGGCTGCACCAGTTTACATCCCCACAGCAGTGCACAAGGGTTCCCTTTTCTCCACACCCTCCCCAACACTTGTTATTTCTGATCTTTTTGATGACAGCCATTCATTCAAACAGGTGTGAAGTGAAATCTCATTGTGGTTTCGATGTGCGTTTCCTTGATAATTAGTGATATAGAACACTGTTTCGTGTGTCTGTTGGCCATACGTATGTTATCTTTGAAAAATGTCAGATGTTTTTGCTATTAATTATATATAAAACTTTATATATTTTGGATATTAACCCCTATTCAGATATATGATTGCAAATATTTTCTCCCATTCAGTGTGTTGCTTTTTCATTTTTGTGGCTGGTTTCTTTTGTTATGCAGAGGCTTTTCACTATGATGTAGTCTCACTTACTTATTTTTTCTTTGTTGCTCTTACTTTTGATTTTAAAAAAATCATTGCCAAGACCTATGTCAAGGAGACTACCACGTATGTTTTCTTCTATGGGTTTTATGATTTCAAATATCACGTTCAACTCTTTAATCCATTATGAGCTAATTTTGGAGTATGGTGTCTGAGAGTGTTCCAGTTTCATTCCTTTTCATATAGCTCTCCAGTTTTCCCAACTAAATAATTTTTTCTGTTTTCTTCATTTTTTATTTTTTTAGTATATGTTATTGATTATGCTATTACAGTTTTCCCATTTTTTCTCCCTTTTATACCCTTTCCTCCATGTACTGCCCTGCCCTCCAGCATTCCAGCCCCCTTAGTTCATGTCCATGGGTTGTACATAACTTCTTTGGCTTCTCCATTTCCTATACTATTCTTAACCTCTCCCTGTCTATTTTATGCCTACCAATTATGCTTCTTATTCCCTGTATCTTCCCCCTTATTCTTCTCCTCCCCCTCCCCACTGAAAACCCTCTGTGTCCTCTCCATTTTTCTGGTTCTGTTCCTGTTGTAGTTGTTTGCTTAGCTTTTGTTTTTGTTTTTTAGGTTCAGTTGTTGATAATGTGAGTTTGTTGTCATTTTACTGTTCATAGTTTTTGATCTTCTTCTTTTTCTTAAATAAGTCCCTTTGACATTTCATATAAGGGCTTGATAATGATAAACTCCTTTGATTTGACCTTATTTGGGAAGCACTTTATCTGCCCTTCCATTCTAAATGATGATAGCTTTCCTGGATAGAGTAATCTTGGATGTAGGTCCTTGCCTTCCATGACTTCAAATACTTCTTTCCAACCCCTTCTTGCCTGTAAGATTTCTTTTGAGAAATCAGCTGACAGTCTTATGGGAACTCCTTTGTAGGTAACCCTCTCCTCTCCTTTTGCAGCTTTTAAGATTTTCTCCTTATCTTTAATCTTGGGTAACTTAATGATGATGTGCCTTAGTATGTTCCTCTTTGGGTCCAGTTTCTTTGGGACTCTTTGGGCTTCCTGGACTTCCTGAAAGCCTATTTCCTTCATCAGATTGGGGAAGTTTTCCTTCATTATTTGTTAAAGTAAGTTTTCAACTCCTTGCTCTTGTTCTTCTCTTCCTGGAACCCCTATAATTTGGATGTTATAGTGCTTAAAATTGCCCCAGAAGTTCCTAAGCCTCTCCCCATTTTCTTTTGAGTTGTTTCTTCATTCTGTTCCGGTTGGATGTTTATTTCTTCCTTTTGTTCCAAATCGTTGATTTGAGTCCCAGTTTTCTTCCCTTCACTGTTGGTTCCCTGTATATTTTGCTTTATTTCACTTTGCATAGCCTTCATTTCTTCCTTTATTTTGCAGCTGGGCTCAGTCAGTTCTGTGAGCATCCTGATTACCAGTGTTTTGAACTCTGCCTCTGACAGGTTGGCTATCTCCTTGTTGCTCAGCTTTTTTCCTGAAGTCTTGATCTGTTCTTTCATTTGGGACATAATTACTTTGTCTTGACACACCTGTTATGTTGTAAGGGGGTGGGGCCTTAGGTATTCACTAGGGCAGAGCAACCGTCTTTGCTAGGTCAGGGTGCTATATGTGGGGGAGGGGCTAGAGAGGGACAAAGCCCCTTGCTTGCTCCGTTCTTGCCCCACTTTCCAACCAACTCTCTTGTGTGAGACTGGGAGTTTCTCCCACCGAGGCAAGCTCTGCAGTAGTTCAGAGCTAGCTTTGAGTCTTCAGTTTCCCGTTCAGCCATCCCTGCCTTGTCCACATGGACCGTGACCTTGCCACGAGTCCTCTCAACCAGCTGCACTTCACCTGCACTGTCTGCCACAGTGTGTCCTCTCTGCCCGCCCAGCTGCCCATCTCTGTCCCTCCTACTGGTCTGGGTGAATGTTTCTTTAACTCCTTGGTTGTTAGACTTCCATGTAGTTTGACTTTCTGGCACTTCTGCTTGTTTATTGTTTTTTAGATTGGTTGTTAGCCTTCTTTTGGTTGTGCGAGGAAGTGAAGCGTCTCTACCTACATCTCCATCTTGGCCAGAACTCTCAACACAATTTCTTAAAGAGACTATGTTTTCCCCTTTGTATACTCTTGGTAATTTAGCTGTAATTTCTTGACCATATATGCATGAATTTACTTCTGGGCTCTCTGCTGTGTTTCATTGATCTACATGTCTGTTTTTATGCCAATACCATACTGCTTATAGCTTCAGGATATAGTTTGGAATCAGGGAATATAGTCTTGCCCAGTGCAGATGAATCATGATTTCTCCGACTACCTGAGATCCACTACTTATCCCCCAATAAAAAAGCCCAGGGTAGATCTCTAACGAAGACAAGATGGCTGCTGCTAAGGATCGAGGACTAGATGGAACGTGCTTTTGGGGTTGGAGTGCAGAGGAGAACTTGTCTCTGCTACTGTATTATGATGAAAACCACAGGCTTATTTTCCTCTGCTCTTAACCTTTCTAAACATTTAGCCTTACTTTTCTTTTCCTCATGTCAACATATCATACCAATAGTACAGTAAAATCCCATTTTATCAAAATAGGTTGGAACAGAGACCATTGTATTAAAATTGTGTTTCCTGACAAAACAGAAGATATCAGTTTAATCTAAGAACTTCTGTGTGGAAGTGAAAATAGAGACTTCAACCCTCACGATAATTACAATAAAAGCTAAAGCTGCTAGTGTTCTTGCTTTTTTCCTTTATAAATTAGATTATTTTTTAAAAAATCAATTATGATTTCATAAAAAGTACATGAGCTCATGTAATTCTCTTACCAGGCAAAGACTGCCATTTATATTAGAAAGAGATGATATAAAATTTGTGTTTGTTTTACCCATTACAAATTTGCTTAATTTGTTTCTCATTATGTTTGTGCTACTAGAACATCTTGTTAATCTGTCCAGTTAAACAAATTGTTTCAAATTTGTGCTCATGAGATTTTGTAAAGGTTAATCATCTATAAAGGCAATGTAAAAGGCAGGTAATTTTGCACTGAAAACAATATTTTCCAGCAGAAAATGGTAACAATCACCATGTATAACCACAAGGTTGCCTTATAGGGAGAAAGGGGATGGGGCAGGATATATTTAATTGACCATCACTCCACTCTTTAGGAAAAGTTCAAAATATACTTTTTACTGGCTATTGGAACTTTTTCAAATGTTTACCAAGCCCTGGCTGATGTGGCTCTGTGAATTGGACACCAGCCTGTGAACCAAAACATCATGGGTTTGATTCCTGATCAAAGCACATGCCTGAGTTGTGGGCCAGGTCCCCAGTTGGGGGCATGCGAGAGGCATCTGAGGCAACCGATCGATGTTTCCATTGCACATGGAAGTTTTTCTCCTTCCCTACCTGTCTCAAAAAATAAATAGACAGCAATTCATTTATTTTAAAAATGTTTATCAAATTAAGAGGAACAGGAATTATACTAACCTGGCTTTGAATTGCATGAACTTAAGCAAAATGCTCTTGAGTGACGACTAAAACCAGTTGTTGAGAATGAAAATGAAACAAACCAGTGAGAACAAGAACAACATGATGGTGATGGTGATCTCTGTATATTGATTTATATTTATGTTTTAGCTGTTTGAAAAAGTCAAAGAAGTGTGTCCGAACGTGAATGAGAAGATCAGAGCTATTTATGCAGACCTCAACCACAATGACTTGGCCATCAGCAAGGAGGACATGCAGGAGCTGCTGTCCTGCACGAACGTCGTCTTCCACTGCGCCGCCACCGTCCGCTTCAACGACTCTCTCAGGTTTGCGCCTGCCTCGCTCCCTCTCATGGCTTCTGTGTGTGTGTGTATGTGTATGTAAGTACACATGTGTGTAAGTTTCTTTATGGTTTCTGGGGTTTTTTTAAAGATATTCTCAATGAAAAAAAAATACGAAGGAGTAAAACTTCTCCAAGATACCACATTCCAGAGATAAGCATTTAATATTGTGGAGAATATCCATTCTAGTTTATCTTTATGCATCCATAATAAAATAGAATTATGTTTGAATTTGCAAACAAAGGCATCATGCTGAGAATGCTTTGCAAGCTTCTCAATTGTATTTTTATCTTTCACTAGCAGTGAATATTCTATTATACTTTGTAGTGGCGGCATGATACTCCGTTGTACACAAATGTAATATACTCAACCAGTTCTGTGCTGGTGGATAGTTTTTAGATTTTTCTAATTTTTCACTACTCTAAATAACTCTGCAATCAACATCTTTGTGCATATGTGTTTTTTGTACTTTTGTGTGCTTCCCTTGGAATAAATTCCCAGAAATAGAATTGTTAGACATGTATCAAATACACTCAGATTGTGAATAGCTGATATTTTGTCACGTAATGCTGTTGCTCTCCAAAGAGGTGGTATCTCAATTTTCCCTGTCCCGATGCATATGGATGCTCCTTTCTGACACCCACAACAACACTGTGTTGTGATTCTTTTATTCTTTTTAATGTTGTCAGTATGATCATGGAAATGACATTGTATGTTTTGATTTTTTATTTCTTTGATAATCAGAAAGGTTAAAGATGTTTAAATGCTGGTTGGCATTTTACTCTTTCGTGAAATATCTATCCATGCTTTTTGCCTATTTTTCTTTTGTGTCATTTTTTTTTGTATAAATTTTAAGATTTCTTGAAAGATTTAGCAATTCTTTGTTTTTTATTTTCATAAGGTTCCAAGTATTTTAACAGTTCATAATCTGTTATCAACCTTGTTTTTACTAGTTATGAAATTATTTGAAAACACTTCTAGTATCTTTGTTTTATTTTCATATTTCAACATTTGACCCATTTAAAATTTATTTAGTTATAAACAGGGGTGAATAGTGGGGAAAGTTCTATAAAAAGAAGAGTGATATAGGTATGAAAATAGAGTATGCTTTTTTATTAATTCCTAATAGATGGTTATTTCTGAAACAACATTTATTAAATGATTTATTTTTGCTCTTTATTTCAAAAGAAACATTAAATTCCCATTTTAACTATTTACTTTCATTAATTAGACTTCCTCTTTCAATATCATAGTACTTTAATTGCTGTAATTTTATTTTATTAGGCAATTATACACACATTATTCTTTGTAAATAAGATTTCCTTGACTATTCTCACCTGCTAATATTTTCTGATTAAACTTACAATAATTTTACCAAGTTTTTAAAAGGGTTGGAAATTTGATTGGGATTACATTGAACATGTAGATTCATTTAGACAAACTTTAACATATTAAAAACATCGGTTTTTCCTATACAAGAACAATATACGTCTTTCCATTTATTCAATTTTTTTTGTCATGACCTTAATGAAGTTTTATCATTTTAAAATTATAGAGTCTACTCATTTATTATTAATTTGATATATTTTTAAATGTTGGATTTTAAATGTGTGCCTCTCTTCTATTCTTTCATGGTTGTTTCTATATAAGAAAGCTAGTGATTTTTTTTTTTTGCATAACTTTTAGGAATGGACACCTTACTGAATTGCCTTATTGTCTATCCCAGATTTCATTTTAGCTGCTTCTGTTTGTTTTCTAGATATACAATTATATAATCTGACTTTGGGTTTGTGACTGCCTTTACCACATTTATACCTGTTAATTTTATTTTCCTAATTAAATTACAAGGCTGGAACTTTAGAGCATGTTAAGTTATAGTCGTGATTCTAGGCATGCTTGACCCTGACTTTGAAACCATGAAGCATGGCTCAGGCTAGCTGTATTTCCTTCTGCTTAATTTTCTCCAGACATGCTGTGCAGCTTAACGTTACCGCCACCCAGAAGCTCTTGCTCATGGCGAGTCAGATGCCGAAGCTCGAAGCCTTCATACATATCTCTACTGCCTTTTCCAATTGCAACCTGCAGCACATTGACGAAGTCATCTACCCATGCCCTGTGGAGCCAAAAAAAATCATTGATTCCATGGAGTAAGTTGGGTCACATGAAGGGACAGGGGTGGGTAGATTGTTGTTTTCTTTGATTGTTGGCAGTTATTCATTAATGAGGTAACAATGTGAAACACCCTTGAAACAAAGTGCTTTGAAGTGAAGTTAGCTTTAGCCACTGGGGCCCTGCTATTCTCTCCATCCCCAGATCTTGTTAAATAGTTTAGGGTTGAATGCGGTACTTGGGCATACTTTACATAAAAGTGATATCTCACTTCTTAGTGAGCTCAGCATTGTCACTAAAGAAAATTTACCATAAGGTTTAGAAGTTCAGAGGGCAGGTTTTGGAGTCAGACTGACAAGCACTCAACTTGAGGCTCTGCAACTTTCTAGCTGTGTGATGCTGAGCAAGTGCCTTGGCCTCTCTGGGCTTCAGTTCCTTCATTTATAGAATGAGGCCAGTAATAGTGCCCATCTTACAGTCATAATGATAAATTGACTAACACAAGCAATTATTTTAGTGTTAGGAGTGTTGAACAGCAGATCATCAAAAGGTTAGTAAAGAAAAACTAATGGAGAGCAGGAATTCCTCCCAGATCTGGCAGAAGGAGTCAGTCTCGACCTCTTCGGCCAATATATACTTTCCTATTGTGCAGGAGAAATTGTGTCTAGCTTTCTAATCTTCTTGCCAATCAACAGGAGCCACCTGATTCTTAGCATATGACCTCAGTCTCAGAATAAGTATGTTTTCTGCTTCTTTGTTCTTTCCCTCCATTTACTAAGTTTACCTTTTTCATTTGTTTTATTTTAACTCTGTGTAAAAAGTATTACAGCACAGAAAAGACTATTTCACAGTGAATTTGTCAGACTGTAATTTCATATAACACTGTATTTCTATTTAAGATATACTCTTTAGCACAAAGCTTTAGCTAAATCAAGAGTTCAGTCCCCTCAGGGCAAACATTTTTATCTCATATACTCTGAGAATAGATATTTTGACCTGCCATTAAAAATATCCAGGACAAAGAAGACTGAAAGTCATTTTAAAGACCTGGAGGTTCCTTAAAGTTGCTAATAAATCATGATTTGCTTAATTGGTGAAAAGAAACCTCTCAGAGTCCAGAGTCTGTCAGGAGAGGCAGAGAAGACACGAGTCGTTGCGCCTTGGGGCACGTCTAGGGTGGAGCTGATTTGTTTGTCTGTAGGCTACGGGCCTCCTGAGAGAGTTTGGTCTTGGTAAATAGGTGCTGACGTGTAGGCGGGCCCAGGAAAGGGGCCGCCCCCCTTGGATCCCAGACCCTGGCCCTGAGATTCCACGGACTCAGTCCACCGCTGACCTCTCGCTCCCAACAGACAGTAGCGCTGTCTGCGGCAGCACAGACGTTTCTGGGGGTGCGCCGGGAAGAGGTGGGAAATAAACACTTGGTTCACCCGCGGGGCGAGGGCTCTCCAGGTCCGTCACACAGCCTTCTCCCTCCCAGACTGGGTCCAGACACTCAACAGCCCTCGGTTTCAAAGAGGAATAAACGTACCTTCCAGAGCAGGTCTGGGATTTATTCCCATGTATTCAGCATTCCCCACACTCAGCCACTGTATGTCAGCCCATAAAGGCAGCTAATAGCTACATGATTTATGATCCCGCTGTCATTGACACTTGTCCAAAAGGTATGTTTCTGTCATTTACTGCTCTCCAAGGAGAATGAATATTTAAATAAATATGCAGCCAAACAGAACTAGGAAGGAAATTATATTTTATCTCAGCAGAATGCATTTTGAATGCAATTTAGGAGCTTAGGTATTTTTGTAAAATTGGGGAAAAGGCATACTCACCGTTTATTAATTCAGAATCTTATGTTCAGGACCACCTGTTCAACTGCGCCCTCTCGGCCCTCCCCTCCATTTGCACTGCAGTCACGCTGAAGTAATTGCTCCTCTGTCTCATACTACCTGCCTTTGTGTATTGCGGTTCTGTGCCTAAAGACGACTTCACCTCTGCTTCAGACATCAGAGTTCTGCCCTAGAATCCCTCAGGCTTAGGGCCCCATGCTTGTTCTAAATATCCGGATGCTTATTCATGTTCTCCATCAGACAGTAAGCTTCTCAAGGGAAGGGAGGGTGGCTGGCTCCTTCTTGCTCTCCATTGCCAGCAGACAGTAGGGACTTAAATATTTGCTGAATGAATGAAAACTTTTATTGCATTCATTAGCTGATGAATATAGCATTCAGGCAGTTCTGGCTGGGGGTGGGTGATGTTTGTTAGTTTTTGACAAATCAAGTATAGATGACAGAATTCATAGTAAGTTGTTATTCTGGGATGTAAAGTCTTATTTGTAAAATACCTAGAAGGTCCTGACTAGTGTAGCTCAGTGGTTTGGGTGTTATCCTGCAAACCTTTGTTGTCCTGCAAACCAAAAGGTTGCCAGTTCAATTCCCAGTCAGGGCACATGCCCGTGATGAGGGCCAGGTCCCCAGTTGGGGGCGTGCGAGAGCCAACTGATTGATATTTCCCTTGCACATCGATGTTTCTGTCAAACATTGATGTTTCTCTCCCTCTTTCTTCCTCCCTTCCCCTTTCTCTAAAAATAAATAAATAAAATCTTTAAAATAAAATAAAGTAATATAAAATAAAATACCTGTAAGCTCACAGCTTAGCCCTGTTTCTGGGTGCTCATTTTTCCCCCTTAAACTTCAAATAAAGCCTAGGTGTTAAAGTTTTGAAGAACCAACTACATCAGTGATCATGGCTCTTTCAGCAACTCCTGTACCAGATGGAATTTTTTGAAGTTCAGGAATAACAAATACCATTAAAGTTATTCTGAATAAATATCAATTTACCTAATTTAATTGCTTTGTTTTAAATACATATTTATTCTCTTATTTCATCTCTATTTTGTAATGGACATAAAATTAAAATAAAAGTGTTTCCCAAGATTTTTAGGTTTTTATTTCCTTGAAAATTGTTATTAACAGTAACCCCCTGGGATCTCACAGCTCTCCTTGTTCTTAGTATTCCAGTGGCCCTCATAAAAAAAAGTAATTTTAAAAAAGGGGGAAACCAGGAATTAGACAACAAGATGATCGGTCTTAAAGCTGTCCCTGGGCTTTGTGATCTTGAGACAATCCCTTGTGTAAATATGTTAATTGACTAGATGTGGGGAATCCTGCACAAGGTAGATGTATACCAAATCATCACAATGTGCACTTTTTAAGTATTTCTCAATTTTATTGATCAATTATACCATAGTAAACCTGAAAAAGACAATAATAAAAAAGAAACTCACCCATGAAAAACTAAAGTGAACCTTCTTTTTCCAGAAAACCAATTTAATGGGAATTCCATTTCTGGGAAATAAAAAGAGGACTGGTGCTTTTTGCCAGGAACTTTCCCAGTTGGGAAGGCCCAAGTGCTCCTGCTCGAGCTGTGAATAAAGGGAAGGGGACCTTGAGCTTAAACCTGAGACCCACCATCCCGGCCTGTCCTTTCCAGCCCAGCCCGCAGCGCGACCCCGCTGACCCTCCGCTCCCTTCCTCCAGCTCAGGTCTGAAACTCCGGCATCATGATCGTCCTGAACTTATCCCAAAAGATAAAACTTGATTGTATTAACATAAAAGCTTTAGCATAAACGCATTTTAATAACCCCAGTTAAGAGTTAACGGTGTTAACTGGCGTGAGAAGCACGGCCATGAATCAGTGTTACACAACTGATTTTCTTGGCTCTCAGGCCTGCAGCTGTCTTCCGCGCCTCATCCCACCCTCCGCCGCAGTGTGAGAGCGTGTGCTGTCACCGCTCCTATTCCCCTCGGCCTTCAGCGCTCTAGCTTCCACACAGTGAGTGCTATTCACCTCTAGAAACTCTTGTGCACAGATGGATCAGAGATTGCCAGTGAAATTCCATTTTTTCAGAATAACAGCTGAAGTATGTTTATTTTTAAAAATACATATAACTGACAGGAAAGATAGGGCTTTGTGGCTGATGCTTTCCATGTTTTTAAGGCCAAGGTCACTTCTCGTAGGGGAGCCAGTAGCTGAAAAGGCCTTTTGCACCTGCATAAAAGCCTGAAATAGCCCTGGCTGGTCTGGCTCAGTGGATTGAGCACCAGCCTGTGAACCAAAAGATCAGCTGGTTCAATTCCCAATCACAGCGCATGCCAGCAGAGGCACGCCGGAGGCAACTGCACGTTGATGCTTCTCTCCCTCTTTTTGTCCCTCCCTTCCCCTCTGTCTAAAAGTAAATAAACAAATAAAATCTTTAAACAAAAACAAAGCCTGAAATAACTAGAGTTAGGAACTAGAAAAATGGGTCTGTACATATTTGCTGCTTTATTTAACGTACTTCAATCAATCTAGTAAATTTGCATTAAGAAGGAAATGATGGCTCTTGATGGCACTTGAAAGTATGAACAAAGACACTTTCTGACATTTGATTCCTTAACATGACATTCTTGGGTTGATATTACCACTATCACTGCTGTACTAAGAAAGGGACAATCGAGTAGAGAGGCTAAGTAACTCGTCAGAAGCCTCTCAGCCAGTAAGTCACAGTAACACAATTTTCCTCCATAGACACGTAATTCTGTCTATGTGGACATAGTCCTTCCAGTACATCCACAGGCTTGGCAGGGCCAGACATTAAAAGGTGCTTTCTTAACAGACAGGCTGTGTTTCCAAGGAGCTCGCCACCAAACATGAACAGCGCAGGGCAGAGTATGTGTGGGGTGTGGTGGAGCAGCTGGCACGTATTAAGTCTGATGGAACTGGACAGAGTGGAAAGACTATAAAGACAGGCACAGGAGGTGGACTAGAAGAGCAGATGAAGCAGGGGACACGTGAGGCAGAGCGGCGGCCGCAGGCAAACCCGGGGTGAGTTCCGGATGCCGGAGTGAGTCCATTTCGGCAGCACACACGCTACGTGTGGGAATCAAGCTGGAGAGAGAGGCTGGGCCCACACTGTGGAGATCTGGAATACCCTGCGGAGGATTGCACTTACCTCTAGGCAGTGGGGACCCACTGAAGGAGGGCTGTGTCTGTGTGTGTGTGTGTGTGTGTGTGTGTGTGTGTGTGTGATTTATTAGTCAGTTGTTTTAACTAAGCAAAGACTTGGATGAAAATGAGCAGGAACATTAACTTGGTCATGCTGGGCAAGGGTTGTAGATGGGCCTGGGAAGTGGCCCGAGGCAGGCAGACCAGAGGGAGCGGTGGAGAGGACTGGAAAGGGGCGTGGCAACAGACGTGAAACACCCATGTTTTGGGAGATAAAACACAATAGGACATGGTTAATGTTTTGCCTACGGGTATTACACATATTTAATTAGCTATCAGATTAGAATATGCGTATTGTCACAGTTTACATTTTAAAATAGTACCAGGATTTTAAATCTTTTAAAGCTTCGTTCTATTGAAGTTTTCACTCAAAGAAGCAATGACTTTTTGAGAGCTAATCCCAATTTATACAAATTGACTGACTTACATTTATGAAGTGGAGGTCTTTTAAGTAAGTGATCCCCCAGTTTGCCTGGCCACATGAATCACCAGATTATTAGGTATCACTCCTGAAGGTTGAATTAGTGGTTCTAAGATAGAACCTTAGAATCTTCCAGGAATCTGGATGTCTGTCAGAGGCCTCCTGTGAGTCTTAGAAATAGTGTCTTAAAGGGCTTTCTCGGTTAGCAGCTTTCATCTGCAGTGGGGTGCCTTTGTATTCCAATAATCAGTGCAGCCCTTTCCCTGACTCTCCTCACCTTCTGTTGTCTTTTAATTTCTAGATGCTTTAATTCAATAAAAAAGTTCCTGATAGATTTGTACCTGCTAGAAATCACACTTTTGAAGCTACCAGGCACAGCTAATCTGCCATGTGACAAAGAAAAGGTGTTTCTTGATCAAACACAGCTCGGGCCAGCTCTGGCGGGTGGGCTGAGGGTGGAGGGTGAGGAGCGGGAAGATGAAAGCCACCTGCAGCCCCAGCCCCCAGCGTGGCCCTTTGGGAGCGATGGAACAAAGTCAAATGGGGGAAAGTAGCTTTGCCTCGATGCGGAAGCTCACACATTGTGAGCAGGAAGAAAGTTATCTGTGCTAGGGGCCAAAAGACTGAATTCAGCATCTGTGCCTTTGTTTTCGGGATTGTCTTGTCTCAAGATGGCATCTAAGTAGCCGACACAAAATTGAAAATTCAGTGTGCTTTTAGTAGTATTGGGCTTTAACTATAAATCAGAGCAGGGTCAGATTGTTTCTTACACAAATTGAATAATTTCTATGTTATCAAGCTATTGGAGGCCAGAATAAGAGCTCAATAAAAGTTTGGAGGAAAATACTGGAGCCCATTCAACACAAGCATTGGGCTTAGATATATATATCCTCCTTCTCCCCAGTAAAAGTTTAAATTTGCTCTGAAGCCAGTGCTGACAAACTGAAGTTGGTCAACATCTACAAGCTTTCAGCTTCTCAATGTTTTCCCCACTACCAGTGGATGCTTTCACTGTCAGTTCTGCTTCATTCTCCGCAAAGACATCCACCCTCTTTCTTCCTTCCAGTCTCCCTACAAACTCACCTCCTTCTGAGTCCACCCATTTGCCCCTATCATGGGCCAGCTCAGCTTCCCAAAACCTTTCATAGAATATAAATTGGCCAAAGAAAACCATCATGTGGGAAGACACCCATTTACTGAATTAAATTAGCTGGTTCCTGGGGGCAGAAAGGTGATTGGACACAGATTAAAAAAAAACATAATCCATTCTCTCTGGACTCCTTGAAAAGTGGGGCAACAGACACATGAGCAAGTACCTGCGACACGGTCATCGCAACGATCAGGGCGAGAACACAGTTCCGAGGAGAGGAGGAGGGAGCAGACGCTCCCACGAGGCGGCGTGTCCAGTACTCACTCTCCGGAACGTCTTCCTGACACACCGGTCTGCTTGCCCTGCTTACTGAATAATAAAATTGAGAGGAAAAAATACATATTCCTCATGGTATCTCATTCAGGAAGTACATAAATTACGAAGTTGTGAATGATATTAAGAGATTGATTCCACAAGTTTCAAACCCAAAAGTAATATTTAGAGGAAATTGTGGGTGTGTATACACACACACATTACTTTCTGAAATCTTTAATAACTTTTTGCATCTTTTGAATCAATTTAAGTAGCTTAGAATTTGGGGCCCATGGGTTCAAAACATCTTCTTGAGTACACACCAGAGGGCATTTGGTTCATTTCAGAAATGTGCTTTGGTTTATGTGGTGTCTTCTTTTCCGTGCTAACTTATTTGCTGTTTTAAAAACACACTAGAACAAGCCACAGCAGCACATCAGACTTTGGTAAAGAAGAGCACGAACTGATTATTCGTCTTAAAAAGGGCACCACCTGACCACGTGCGTCCCTGGTACACTCAGCTCTGTGAACTCCGCAAGTGGCTGGATGAGACAGGCCCTGGTCTGCTTGGCTGCACTGGAAAAGATATGTTAAAAGCCACTACCGCCTCTGTAGATACATGCCCCTTGGTTGTTTTACCAAAAATAAGAATGCCTTAGGTTGATTGGCTCATTTTTGTTTTATCAAAAAGCTTCAAGTGCAGTTGTGAATATTTCTGTTTGCCTTCATGATAACCTAAAACTTTAGAGCAGGTGTAATCATTGCCATCTTCACTACTAAAAATGGGGGACACGAGAAGATGATACAGCCAGATATAGGTGAAGCTACGAAGGGTAGAGGCAGGCCGTCTACAAAACACTACAGCTTCTGAATTTGTGTTCTTGGAAACCTACAAAACCGACACTTTCTGAGAAGCAAACTCAGCCCATTTGGTAAGGGCTCTAGATGGCACCATTCGGTGGGGGCCAGCACCGGCACAGCAGCAGGGATGGCCGTGGACACAGCCCTGGTGCGTCTCTGGGGTCTGCTGTTTGCTTAGAGTTTGTTTTCTTTGCAGCCTCATTAAAATGAGGCTGTATTTCCATCAAATAGGTGAATTGTATGTTTGGTGAATTGTGTCTCAGTAAAGCTGTATTTTAAAAAGAGAGAGAAATTAGGCTGTATTTCTTCTGACCTAGTTTTTGTAACTCTTGTGTCTTTGCAGGGAAATAAAATGTTCGTAGGTTAGTTAATCCACTGCTGCCCCCCAAACACGGTTTGCAGAAGGTAACCTCATTATAAAGATGGAGAGCTGCCTGCATCGCCCCTCACTCTCTCCTGACCCTCTGGTGGCTGTATCATTGGAATACCTATTTTTCTGAGTATTCAGAGTTGTTTTTAATTCTCGGAACTTCTCAGATTTTCCCTATTCAATTTAAGTTGAAAGACATTTGAGTCGCAGCAAAGTAAAAAACCAAACATTATAGACAATGCTCATCGATTGCAAATGAGAGTTGTCAAAATGGAGCATTGTGTTTCTCAACAAGTCTTGGCATAAACACATCTTAAATGCTCAACAATCTGAAATGGGAGCAAAGCAGTAACTGCTAAGATTTTTCTACAATCAAAATAGTATGACTGAGCTCAGTTCTATAAGACAGAAATAAATGTATCAAATCACACTAACATATTTAGGTAGTCTAATTTTTAAAAACTACATTATATCAAAAGTTTGCCCAAATAGATCTGCCAAGAGAAACATCAAATATTTAATCCACAATAATATTATTGTGCTCTTAAAGAACTGCAGATAGACTTGGAGATTATCAGAATGGTTCTGACACCTGTAAAGAAAAATGAGGCTGTTGTCATGGTAACTCGGTTGTTTATTACACATTTCCTTGTAAGCAGAGGTACCCCGTAGTCACTATTACAACTGCTTCAGAGGACTATGACCACTCCACTTGACAGACTATTAGCAGTGATGAGAGCACTTCAGAATTCACTGGGAATCTCTAGAAGTTATTACCAAGTTATTAGAATAGACCCTAAACAGACCTTCAAAATACATTTTATAGATTTGCTAAAACGGATTATAAGTCTGCCAGATGTAGTTGCTTTTATTCATTGAGGCATTAATTGGAATTTTAAAAGTTAAAAGCTGAAGTTTGCAAGACTGGCACATTAGGTGCTCACTGGAAACTCGGAGTGAGTGGAGTGGCAACAGAAGCCTCCCTCCTGAGAGTGCCTTGGCACTCTGAAAACACACCTGGCGCGCTCCCGGGCTCATGATCCACACTCACAAACGTGTGTGATGGATGTGTACTTTTGAACCTGTCGGAGAGGAAATCATTGAAGACAGAGATGATATGTAATCAAGTAGTGGAGTGCACAGCTGTCAAAGCTATCTCTCTAGGCGAGAGGAGGTGGGAGTCAGCTGGTAAGATTGGGCTCAGCAGTGGACAGCAAAGAGCTCACACGTGATTTGAAAATGTACACACTCAGCCTCGGTATCCTGTGGCTCTTCTGACCTCCAGAACTCAAGCTAGAAAGTGGGAGTTGTATTTGAGTGTCTGTGTCTCACAGTGTTGGTTTTGGTCTGTTGTCTAACATATGTCGCTGGAATTCTTTTTCACTCTGATTACCTTCAGGTGGTTAGACGACGCTATTGTTGAGGAGATCACCCCCAAATTGATCCGGGATTGGCCCAACACTTACACCTACACGAAGGCCTTGGGAGAGATGGTGGTGCACCAGGAGAGCGGGAACCTCAACATCGCCATCGTGAGGCCCTCCATTGTGGGAGCAACCTGGCAGGAGCCCTTCCCAGTAAGGCCACTCACACGGATCCCTTGCTTGGCTTCCAAACCTGCGTCCTTCTAGTTCAATCAATCTCTCTCTCTCTCTCTCTTCCCCCCTCTCCCCACCCCCTCTAGGATGTATAGCTGAGTGTAGGAAATCAAACACAAACCCATTTTAACTGGGCAAAATTCCACATTTGGTTCATGAATTATTCAGCACAAGGCCCCCCTGGGACTTACACGGACTGCTTTGGAGTTGGGTGGAGATCCCCAGTCAGCTTCTCGTTAATGCTAGTCTTAGAGTTTCCATAGACAATAGTTTCATATCTTGCCTCTCCCACTATAGTTTAAATATACCAGAATGTTCCTGATGGTGAGATAAGTAGTATTATGTCTGCCAGGATAAATAAGTATCACAAAGCTCACAGAAGGTGTTCAGTTTCAAAATAATAACTTTTAACCTCTGTATACTGTTGTATGCTTTTGAAGTCACCTTGGATTAAATTATTTTCTTTGAAGCAATTCTGTGAAGTTTTAGGGCCATGTAAATTTGAACTCCACTACTTAATGACAATGCAGATTCTGAATTGTCTGGTTTGTAAAATGGGGCTGTAACTACCCACTTTGGAGAGGTACCAGATGAGGCAAGTATGGGGAGTGCAGAGCACTGCCTGGTCCTGAGTAAAAGGCTTAAGAAAGAGCCCCTTCTTCTCCTCTTCTCTGTCTCCTCTTCACTTTACACATGCATTTCAACTTTTACAGATAAAGAAACAGACATAATAAGGTTAACTGACTTGCTCAGGGCTGAAGAGACAAATTCAAAATGACGTTTTCCTCTAACTGCTCCTAAACATACTCTTCCCTCTAATGTCTCTAAGCAAGCTAATTAGATAGATAGATGATAGATAGATAAATAGATAGAGAGATAGAGAGATAGATAGATAGATAGATAGATAGATAGATAGATAGATAGATGATAGAATGGATGGTATGGCTCTTGAAATAAGAAATGGATAATTCCTACAAATCATGTTTGAAATGTTCCCCTGGGGAGATAAAATCAGGTCCCAGATGGAGGAAGATGATGGTTGATGAATTGGGTAGCAGATCATGATATTAATACAAGGTCCAATTTAGCCCCTAAGATGTCATTAAAACTCTCCATAACTCCTGCTGGCAGAATGTCAATTCTCCCACAAATAAAAGGCAGAAACTGTGCAGTGCTTTGCCATTGACCTTTGTTTGTGATGTGAGAACTACAGGATCAGACAGTTAGATTGGCTGGGGTCTCAGTGCTCCTGTTGGAAACGGATTAAGATTAGACTGTGAATGTTCCAAAGGTATTAAAATTCTCTGTCATGTATGACCAATAGAGATCTTTTTTTTTCTTTAGGGTTGGGTTGATAACGTAAATGGACCCAGTGGGCTCATTATTGCGGTATGTATAATGATGTGGAAATAACTCCTTGAAATGTGCTGGAGGGATAGTGACTAACAGCGTGCTTAGTGTTGGCTTAGCTTCATTGATCCAAAACCATGTTACTTTACTAACGTAATTGAAGCATCTTATCTCAGTTTTGCTGATTGAAAAATAGAATCAGGATGAAATTACTTTGATTTTTGGATTTTATTATCAGAAAAACTGACATGCTGTGATATCAATTGCCATTTAGGAATTTGTTTTTGGAAAGCCTTTGAACATTGAGGCCCATGTCTGTAGTTCCCTTTTATCCCACTAGATGGGGGTGTTTCCTCCTTTTCGTTCATTAATAGCTTGAATTAATGCAGCAAACTGGGCACACAATAAAAGTCATATTCATAAAGAGGATCAAATTCTTGATTATAAAACACATGCAAGAATTTATGTGTGTGGATATAGGTTATATAAATGCATAAAATACATCAATAACCAGTTCTTAATAAATATAAGAATGAGAACTACCAATGGAGCAAAGATTTCAAATTAAAAATTGACGACTATAGGAAATTTTTCAACAGTAATTCTCTCACAGACAAGGAGAAACGTGAATGGTCCCTTTAGGTCAGCAGCCTTTCGAGTGTGTCTGCCTGCAGTGAAGACGGAGCCGGCCTGAGCCGGGCTGCTTCACAGTTTTTCATTCTAGGACCAGGACCCCCATGCACTTCTTTGAGTTTAAATCTTACAAACTCAACTTCAGACTCTGCCTCTGTTCTCAGAGCTAGGTCAACATGAGCTAAGATACAAACATAAGGCAATGAATCATGACTACTTGCCAAAGACGGTGATAATGAACTTTCTGGTTTCTTTTATTTTGTAGCAGCGTCCACCTTCTCTGTTTTTGTTCTCTACCTGTCTTCTTCTTTAAGGCTTCGTTAGGGTAAACATTTGGTAACTTAGAACATCATTATTTTAACATGACCCTAGGGTTATGTTCCATGACATTGTTTATAAAATTGCACATTTATTCAAGTTATCTAAAATTCTCTAGTCCTCTCTCCATACCCCTGCCTAAGCGTGTTCACCATTGCGTTCTGTGCTCCTGCATATGTCTCACCAGGAGATTACAAGGGTCCAAGTTTTATTTACACTCTGAAGAGGGGAGAAGGAGGAAGAGAAGGAGAGAAACGTCAAATACTTGCCTCTCCTATGTTCTGACTGGAGACAGACCCACAGCTCAGTTCCAAAGGCGGGAACAAAGAAGACCAATGTTTTTCACTTGGACTCAGACTTCCGGTCAAGATGGAAGTGTAGATAAACATGACTCACCTCCTCGAACAACCACAATAATCACAAGTAAACTACAAACAGCTATCACCCAGATTCGCCAGAAGACTGAGCTGTATGGAAGTCCAATAACCAAGGAATTAAAGAAGTCATATTCATTCAGATGGGTAGGAAGGGCACAGACAGGAAGATTTGGAGACACAGAACAGGCTGTCCCACACTCACTTGTGGTGGATAAAAAATGGGAGGGATATCTCAGGAGTGAGGAGTCCCAGCCCCACATCAGGCACCCCAGCCCAGGGTTCCAGTGCCAGGAAGAAAAGTCCCCATAACTTTTGGTTGCCAAAACCAATGGGGGTTGGGGCTGCAGAAGAAACTGCAGGATTGTCGGGCGTCTCCTCTAAAGGGTCTGCAATGAACTTAGGCCTTACACAGACTCACTCTCTCTGGACTCCAGCACCAAGACAGCAACTTGAAGGGCACTAGTGGCATAAGGGGAGAAACTGAAGTGTCTGGCATCAGGGCAAGTGCTGGAGGACAGCTCCCTCCCAGACAGAGCTCCAGAGGCCAGGCAGCAGTATTGTCCTTTTTCTCAGCCCTCCCCACACAGAATTACAGAGTGGCAACACCAAATCTGAGACTCCATCAACCTGGTTCACACAGGTTGCCCGGCCCTGGTGCTTACCTAAGGCTCCATCCCATCCAACTTATGGCTGTGCTTTTCCACAGTAGGCCATACTACTAAGACAGGGAGTCAAAGCAGCTCTACCTAATACATAGACACAAACACAGGGAGGCTGCCAAAATGAGAAGACAAAGAAAGAACAAATGAAGACCAAATGAAAGAATAGAGCAAAATTCCAGGAAAAGAAGTAAACAAAATGGAGACAAGCAATCTTTCAGATTCAAAGTTAAAAACACTGGTTGTTAGAATGCTCAAGCCACTCATTGGGTACTTCAACTGCATAAAAAAGACCCAGGCAGAAATGAAGGTTACACTGAGTGAAATAAAGAAAAATTCACAGGGAATCAACAGTGGAGTGGATGATGCTGAGAATCAATGATGTGGAACATAAAGAAGAAAAAAATTCAATCAGAACAGCAAAAAGAAAAATTTTTTTAAAAGAGGATATTTTTATATCTATTTTTATGGACTCTCTGTCAGGAGGCTCTGGGACAACTTCAAGCATACCAACATTTGAATCACAGGGGTCCTGGAAGGAGAAGAGAAAGAGCAAGAAATTGGAAATCTATTTGAGAAAAGTAATGAAAGAAAACTTTCTTAATTGGGGAAGGAAATAGACATACAAGTCCAGGAAGCACAGAGAATCCCAGACAAGATCCAAGGTCCCAAAGAGAACCACACCAAGACACATTATAAATAAAATGCAAATGTTTAAAATAAAGAGAGAATCTTAAAAGTGGAAAGAGAAAAGCAGAGAAAAACAAAGGAGTTCCCATAAGACTGTCAGATGATTTCTCAGAAGAAACTTTGTAGGCTAGAAGGGAAGTATTCAAAGTGATGAAAAGCAAGGACCTACATCCAAGGTTACTTTATCCAGCAAAGCTATGATTTAGAATTGAAGGGCATATAAAGTGCTTCCCAGGGAAAGGAAAGCTAAAGGAGTTCACCCTTACCACATGATTATTATATGAAATGTTAAAGGGACTTATTGAAGAAAAAGAAGATCGAAACTATGAACATTAAAATGGCAATGAATTCACAACTATCAAAAATTGAATCTAAAAACAAACTAAGCAAACAAGCAGAACAGAAACAGAATCATAGATATGGAGATCATTTAGATGGTTACCAGTTGAGAGGGGAAGAGGGAGAGAGGGGGGTAAAGTATATGGGGTAAGAAGTACAAATAGGTAGGTACAGAATGGGGGGGAGGTTAAGAATAGTATAGGAAATGTAGAAGCCAAAGAACTTATATGTACAACCCATGGACATGAACTAAGTGGGGGAGGAGTGCTGGAGAGAATAGGGGGTACTGGGTGGAGGGGACCAAAGGGTAAACATTGGGACAGCTGTAATAGCATAATGAATAAAGTATATTTTAAAAAAGAAAAAAAATAAAATTTTCAAACTGGTATTTTCTATACGAAGGAATCAGTTACAAGAAAACAGAAATTAGAAACATAAAGAAGTGCTAACAACCACTAAAATCGATGTTGGAAATAAGCAAGATATAATCAATTACTTCATAAAATAAAACTTTTGACTTATTTACTGACTTATTTGCTGGCATGACTTATTCATTAACATGAGTAGTTCCCAATTCTTGCATCAGTACAACATTGTGACCCGTGAGGTGAACTAAGATACCAAGTGAAGTAAATAATGGTGGCCTTTTCCGAAGGAATAATGAAGTTGTTCAATGGTTGAATTTTATTATTTTTTAAAGATTTTACTTATTTATTTTTTCAGAGGTGGGGCAAAGGAGGGAGGGAGACAGAGAGGGCGAGAAGCCTGGATGTGGGAGAGAAACATCCACTGCTTGCCTGTGGGACATGCCTGATCTGGGACCAAACCCGCACCCCAGGCACACACCCCGGCAGGGAGCCGAGCCAGTGACTTTTCCACTGTGCAGGGTGATGCCCAAGAAAGCGGGCCACATCGGTCAGGGCAGACATTTATTAATTTAAAAGCATAAATATTTCTTAAACTTTTAGTGTCTGCCGTTGCTTGTAAGTTAGTAAATGCTAGCAGAAAACAGCAAAATTCTAGTATTAATGAAAAATTTGGAAGACCTTAATTCTTAAAATGTCTTATGAATTAATTTTTAAGATGTGAAAAACTGTTCTTGGTGTTTGTTATTTAATTAAATATATTACCTCTCACAAATTTGAGATTTCAGTCCCTAAAGGATCTAAGGACCACTCACTAGTGGTTCATAGAAATGTTGGCATTTGAAATGTATGTGGCTGGAGAGCTGGGTGGTCTGAGAGATGTCACCTTTGTACGGTAACCTGGTGAGGGGTGAATCAATGCTAGCTGTTATTCCTAACAGCATCATTGTTAGCCCCCACTGTTACTTAAGATCTGGCTCAATATGCTATGTTCTTCTTCCCATGCAGACTGGGAAAGGCTTCCTCCGGGCCCTGAGAGGTGCCCCAATGGCTGTGGCAGACCTGATTCCAGTCGACACGGTCGTCAATCTCACCTTGGCTGTAGGGTGGTACACCGCAGTTCACAGGTGCGGATGCTGGGCTGGCTTTCAAAGATTTGGTGATAAGGAGGGTAAATATGTTAGGCTTATTTTTAAAATACATGCATTTTATTATAGGAGACCCCAAATGTGAGAGGGTGTCTGCTTCAATAATTTACATAGTTCCAAATATGCCATCATCCATGCAGAGTAGTTTTATTAGTACTGCTTAGTGCTGCTACATTTGTCGTAAAGTAACAAATGCTTTTCATTAGCCATAAAACTATTTATAACTGAAATACCTTTCTTCCTATTTAATAGTCTAATATAGAGCTTCTTTTTTAGGGCAAAGGAGATAAAAGTGGGTGAAATGAGAACATCTTTTATATTTCATGGACCTGAACAATTCCTGATAAATGCCAAAAGTTCAGCTCACCATTGGTGAGGTATTTCCTAGTGTAGGCAAAAAAAACAAACAAACAACAACAATAACAAAAAAACAGAGGTTGTTTGTACTTTTGGCTTTGTTAGTAAATGATAAATTAAATATTTTTTCTTATTTGATTTGAGACACTTAGATGTTTGCCACCCAGCAGGACTTAGCTGGATTTAGAAAACACTAAGCCTATAGTTTTGCCCAATAAACATGTTCCTAAGTTGGAAAAACGATGGTCTTTCTCATCGTGACACCTCCATTTGCTCCACAGCCACACCAGCCTATCTGAAATCTCTTTCACACACACACACACACACACACACACACACACACACACACACACACTTTTCTAACCTTTTCCATTGTGCTTATTAACCCAAAGAAGGAACAAAAGAAGGAAAGTTGCTACGTTGCTTTACTCATGAGAATTATTGAAACAACTTTGTCTAAATATTATTTTCCCTTATCTTCTTTTCATTAGTTCTTCATTTTGTTGCCTTTATCTAAACTTTATTTTCTCTTCCAGACCTAAATCAACATTAATCTACCACTGTACATCTAGTAACTTTAATCCCTGTCACTGGGGCAAAATGGGTAAGTGCCTGGAGCGACGTTCACCACTATGTCTACTGCAGGAAGAACAGTTAGACAAAGTGTGTCCTGGAGCTTAGAGTTTAATGGGGAAAAAATGCACAAACAACTAAGTGAAGAAATAAAATCTTTACAATTCATAGATGTGTATGTACCAAAGAAGGGTTGGGGAAACATCTGCATGATTGTAAGCAGTAAGGGGTCCGATAGCTAAAGAGGTTTTTAAAAATAAGTGAAACCAAGGAGAAGTCCGTGAGTGTGAGCGTTGTCGGTGACAAAACCCTGCTCCTGTGGAGCGCGCTGCTCCCAGGTACACCGCCTGCCCCATGGCTGCATCCCTGACACTGGGACAAGACCAAGCAGATTTAGAAACGTTCAATGATATAAACTTTTACTATTGGTTAGTAATAGTCTTATTAGTTGTGCAGTTAGCCAGGAAAGTAACCTTGAAAGTATCTTGTCGACAAAACCAATCCTGCATAGAATAGAAACTGAACCAATCATGTGCTCCTTTGTCAATTTAGGAGTTGATTTTCTTGTCAATATCTGAAACTTTAGATGGTCTAGATGTTTTTTTTAAGGTATTAGATGCAGACAAAAAATGAAATGGACTTTATTAGAATTTGATTTCTAATTCAGAACACTCAGCTGTGCTATTCCTTTTACAAAGTTGCTACTTCAGTGAAAATTAAATAAATTCTCTAGCAGCAAAGTTCTTTGGAACATATATCTGGTTATTTAAATTACATATCTAAATAATTCTGAAAACACTTGGAAGTAAAAATAAATCTCCTCCACCTCAGTAACAGAATTAAGGTATGACTCACAAAAAGACTCATTAATAGATGCAAGCAGGGTAATTTAAGCTCTTAAAGATGTTGCATGTAAATTTTATTCTGAGATTCAAATTAGTCTTCTGCATGCTAAAAATTCTTGGTATCTGTTTTATAGAATTATGGAGTTTCATAATAGAAAGTGACCTTAAAAATAATCTAGGCGGTTTGCTTTATTTTACATAAGAGACCCAGTGAGAGTAAATGATCTATTTCAAATTCAGATGGGGAGCTGGTCCCTGAAACAGAAGACAGTTGTTTTAAGATTTTATTTATTTATTTTTAGAGAGAGGGGAAGGGAGGGAGAAAGAAAGTTAAAGAAACATCAATGTGTGGTTGCCTCTCATGTGGCCCCCACTGGGTTGACCTGCAACCCAGGCATGTGCCCTGACTGGGAATTGAACTGGTGACCCTTTGGTTCGCAGCCCATGCTCAGTTCACTGAGCTACACCAGCCAGGGCAGAAGACAGTTTTCTTGCTTCCCTTGAATTTGCTCTGATCACTCTGCTAGTGATTCTTAAAAGTGAATATGAATTCCCCCTGGAGGAAAAGAGTCCAGATTCCTGGGTCAGATGCTTCTTTTAAATAGAACAATAATCATGTTATCAAAATAACGGATGTCTTCATCATAACTGAATAATGAATTTAGGCACATCCTTTGAAAGTTCTACATAGATAAAATTAAAATGGGATACAAATGAATAGCTTTGGGAAAGAATTATTGAATTTACAGATTTACATTTAAAGTTTTTAATGATTTTTTACCTAAGTAATAATAAAAAAGAAAAAATATTATGAAAAGAACCCCAGAGATAAGAGTGGACAGTTGAGTCTGCCATGTTCCCAGAGAAGGAGAAATCCCGAGGAAAGAAAAGCCAGTGGCACTCAAAGTGAACCAGCACGGAGGAATCCTGCTGTTATGGTCTCTCTATTCCTTAAACCCTCAGGAGTAAGATTTAAGTAACCCTTTATCAAGGTTTAAGTAAAATGTTAAGAAACTTTCCTGATGGTTCTACAAGTAATGATCCAAACAAGGAAATAAGGTCCATAAGCTCTATCTTGGGACTTTTGGAATAGACTAGATAACCTTAGAACTGAATGGTGGATTTAAATTTTTCTGAACAACGCATCACTATGCTGATTAAAACTCTGTCCCCCAGAAATTGTTTGAGAGTAAAGATTTCAAGAAGAGGACTCAAGTCTTAACCTATTCACAATGCCATGACTACTTGCCAGGATAAAAATCTTTTTTTTAAGATTTTATTTATTTTTAGTGAGAAGGGGTAGGGAGAAAGAGAGGGAGAGAAACATGGTTGTGGTTGCCTCTCGAGCTCCCCCTATTGGGGACCTGTCCCACAACCCAGGCATGTGCCTTGACTGGCAAATTGGACCAGGGACCCCTTGGTTCTCAGGCTGGCACTCAATCCACTGAGCCACAACAGCCAGGGCATTGCCAGGATAAAAACCTTAATACTGTCTCAGAAATTGACTCCTGACTCGACACAACCAGCCCTTATTCTCTATTGTTTTGGCCCATTTACAAATGCCATCCACCACAATGGGCTCAAATGCTTAAGACTCACCACTTACTCTATTTTCCGCCCCCAGGATTCCAAGTCTTGGCAACCTGTGAAAAAATCCCATTTGAGAGAGCTTTTAGGAGGCCATATGCTGACTTCACAACCAACACCATCACTACCCAGTACCAGAATGCGGTCAGCCACTGGGCCCCTGCCATCATCTACGACCTCTATCTCCGGCTCACCGGAAGGAAGCCCAGGTGAGAGAGGCTGGGCCAACAGCTTTAAGAGCATCACAGTATGGAAGATTAGGGCCCTCAAGTCCTTAGCCCTTACTGCAGCTGGGGATCAAAGGTTACAACTGAACCTAAAACAACACACACACACACACACACACACACACACACACACACACTTTGAAACAACTGAAGTAATAGTGGTGAGAGGCCCCAGAGGACTCCCTACTTTAAAAAGCCTACATCATAAAAAAGGAAGTTAAATGTTAAGGAACTTGCTTGATGAATTCAGCAAGTAATCATCCACCCCAAAAGAAAAGCATCCCACACTCTTGTGTCTGGCGGGGCTTTCTAAATTGTTAGGTAATCTAAAAGAAAGGAAAGAAAAAAATGATAAATCGTTAGGTAACCTTCAAATGTGCAGTGATGGGAACAGCCTCACACACACACGGGAAGATGCATGATGACTTCCTTTTCCTTCTCACAACCACCCAAGGAGGATGTTCTCAGCATCCTGATTTTACAAATGAGGAAACAAAAGCTAAGGAAAGAATTTCAAATAGTCTCAAATAAAGTTAATAGAAGAAAGATTTGGAGAAGTCCGAACTAGATATACTGCCACCTAGAGGTGAATGAAGAAATCAGAGGGAACAGGGTGGAGTGAAAAGTGCAAATGCTGAGGCAGCTCTGTCACCATGTGGCTGTGATAGGACATACTCATTTCTCTCTGTCTCACTTGAATGTTAGAGGTGTCTGAGGAGTCATTATTATTATAATTACGGTAACAAAGGCAATTGCTGCAGTCAAGAATCAGAAATATGAACAATCTTGCCTTGTGTGCTAGCTTCTTGATAAAGGAGGAAGTCTCTCAGCATGATTAATTTCCATTCTTATTAGCAGAGCAAACGACTAAAACTTAGGCTATGTAGAGTTTCTCCAAATTTTGCAGAGACCTTCTTAAGAGCTCATCAGTCAGTTATGGCCAGCTTCTCCTTGAGCACAGAGAAAAGGGGACACTGTGGCTATGGGGAAGATACTTATATGGGGCTTATTATATAAGGTGGGAAAAGAAGAAAAACTAAACATTGTAAGCAGAAATGCTAAAGATTTTAAAATACAACAGGGGTGGAAGAAGACCTGGATAAAGACCAAAGTTCAAGAGGCAGAAAAGAAAAACACGGGAGGAAGGGGCCCAATAGAAGTCTTTATGAATTTTGTTTGTGAGAAATTAAATTGAAGTATTTGTGGGAAATGGGTAAGTTTGTTTTGTGATAGAAATTTTAAGAATAATCTTTATGGCTGAAAATACTAGAATTTTTCTAGACCCTTTCCCTCCCCAAGCGTGTTTGTGTGTGATCTGTGCATTTACAACCGCATGTGGAAATAGATATATTTTTGCTTTGAGGTAAACAAATACGAGTGCCCATGCATGTTTCCAGAATGTGCCACTGGGTTTGGGGAAGGTGCTGAGGGGTGTCGTTGTTGAGTTGGAGGGTACGTGGTTGCCCTAAACAAAGGTTCTGTCTGTTTGGCCAACTACACCAGCAGGTGAGGGCACATATCTGTTTTTCTGACAGACTCTCATCAGCACTTTGCAAAAATCAATCTTTTGAATTGTCAAACTAAAGACACGAAATGGCATCTTTTTGTTACTTTTATTCAAGCCCCAAGTCCTTAGCCCTCCCTGTTGTTTGTTAGACAACACATTCAAGTTTTCTTCTCTGCCAGTGGTTCATGCGACATTTGTTCATTCGACATTCAACTTTTCCCTTCTGTGAATTGGCTGCTTCTGTTTCTCACCTAGTTTTCAACTGGGTTGGAGCTGGTGTTATTAATTTATGGAAACTCATGTATATTGGTATATGTGTCTCTGTAGACCTATATTTGATATATTTTCTCCAAGGCTGTTTCTTATATCTTTGAATATGAAATTTTTATACTGAATAATACAAAGAGAGCTACATATAATGTAGTTCTTAAGAGTTTGGAATCAGATTTCTGATTTCACCGATTTAGCCAGGTGAGCCCTAAATTACTTAACCTCTCTAAACCTAAATTCACCTATAAAAAATAAAAACAAAAGGTAGTAATCATATGTATCTTATAGGATTTTGTACAAGAGTGTATAGAATACAGTAATCACTATTATTACTAAAGTTCTAAATTTTTATGTGATAAAATGAATCACTCTGATGACTTTTGCATTTTATGCATTAAGACCTTCTCTACCTGAGAAAAAGTTTTTTCTTTCTAAAAAATATATTATGCTGATATAGTCCCATACATACAATGATATTGTACAGTGATTATTTTAAGAATGAAAATAAATCTGCCCTGGCTGGTAGGTCTCAGCTAGTTGGGCATCATGCTGCAAACCAAATTGGCAGTTTGATCCCCGGTCAGAGCACATGCCTAGGTTGTACATTTGGTCCTTGGTGGGTGGGCACATGAGAGGCAGCTGATAGATGTTTCTCTCCCTATCTTTCTTCCTCCCTCCCCCGCCACCTCTCTAAAAATCAAAAATAAAAAAAATTAACAAAAAGAATGAAAATAAGTCCATTGAAATCACATCAATTACATCCAAGTTATAAAATACATAAAGAATATCTTATTCCATTTGGTCTGTTACAATAGAACACCAGGGATTGGTGGGCTGATAAACAGTGCAGTTTGTTCCCCACAGTTCCGGAGACTGGGGAGTCTAAGGTCCGGGTACGTGGGTAGATGGGGTGCGTGCTGAGGGCCTGCTGCCCTGTCCCTAGGCAGCCACCTTCTTTCTGTGCCTCACATGCTTCGAGAGCCGAGGGAGCTTTCTGGGGTGTCTCTGATATGAGCTCTTCTTCTAAATACCATCACATTAGGGGAAATAAGTTTTGCCATACAAATTTCAGGAGGACACAAGTATTTAGTCTGTAGCAAATATGCTAGATAATGATAGCTAAATGGAGCCCTGTTTTGACACTTGTGTGAGTGAACAATGATTTTACCTCCTACCTAAGAATTTCCCACGACACAATGAAAGAAGTATCTTGTGAGTCATTAGATAAATGGGCATTAAGATTGACCAGAAATAAGACCCAATTCCCAAAACAGCATCATAAGTCATTACTGGGTCAACTACAATAATCACTACTCCCAAGATATGCCTGATGAGGTGAAAATCAAATGTTCTGTAGGCCAAAGGTGATTTGTTGCCAGAAGTCCTAGGTTTGAGCATTAGCTATGAGACCATAAACCTATAATTCTTCTGTAAGATGAATTACAGTAATATAGATCTTTTTTTAATTTTTAAAAATATTTTTATTGATTTTAGAGAGAGAGAGAACATTGGTGTAAGAGAGAAACATGGATTTGTTGCTTCCTGTAGGCGCCCTGACCAAGGATCAAACCCACAACCTAGGCATGTGCCCTGACCGGGAATTGAACTGGAACATTTTGGTGTACAGGACAACAATCCTACCAACTGAGCCGCCCAGTCAGGGCAAGTAATATAGGTACTAATATCACAGGCTCATATTGTGAAGAGAATAGGATCGTAGATGGAAGTTTTTAATAAATTGTTAGGTTGGGAAGTTCACACTGCAGAGCTGGTCCAAGTTCTGACCACAGGATTGGAAGATGTGATCTACTTTAGGTAATGGGACATGGGGTGATAAGAGTACAGAAGCAGAGGCTTTTCGAGGTCAAAGCTGGGTTGGAATTTTGGCTTTGACAGCTATTATTGTGGCCACTTCATCTTAAGCTCACTTTACCCATTCATAAAACTGCAGATTTAGCCCTGACCAGTGTGGCTCAGCCGGTTGGATGTCATCTTGTAAAGCACAAAGGTCACTGGTTCAATTCCCAGCCAAGGCCCATGCCTGGTTTGTACATTTGGTCCCTGAACTTGATATTTCTTTCCTTCTCTTTCTCCCTTCCTTACCCTCTCTCTAAGAATAAATAAAACACTTTTTAAATGCATATTTATACCTACCTAACAGAGAGGTTATGAGAATTAGTGGAGATAGTTTCAAAAAGTACCAGCACTATACTGAACAAGAGGAGGTTAGCAACAAATGTTATTTTCCCTTTCACTCTGAATTACAGTCGGCATCACAGTTAGCATCTGGCGATACAATGAGAGAAGTGCCTAATGAGTCACGAGTCATGTGGATGCTAATACAGCCAACACTTCTGCCCAGAAATTATATGCTAAGACCTTGGGTCCATCCATTTTTAAAAATCCAGTAACGTAATAAAGAAGAGAAATAAGTTTCCTAATTGTCTAGCTCAGAATTCAAAGAATGAATTGTATACCATTAAGGGTGGCCATCTGGCTTGGTTTTTAAAATGTGTGCAGCTCTTGTGAAGGAGATGATAGAAAAGAGAGCAGTTTGGGGGTATAAAGTGCTTCTTCAGCTTCATCCCCTTCCCTTCATTCAATAGAGAATTGTTGTGGAAGGAAAATATGAATAAGAGTTTTAATGAAGATTGGAGGGGAAGAGGGAAGGAATTTTTTTTTATATTTTTCTCAAAAATCTCTCATGCATTCCTAGAGAAGCAGAGAAGCAGCCATCTGTGCTGTGCTGATATCTGCTCCTTTCTGACCTTTGCCAGGATGACGAAGCTCATGAATCGGCTTCTAAGAACGGTTTCCGTACTGGAGTATTTCGTCAACCGGAGCTGGAAATGGAGCACAAACAACACAGAAATGCTGATGTCCGAGCTGAGTCCCGAAGACCAGAGAGTAAGTACAGCACTGCCTTAACCAACCGGGAAGTCTTACTCATTCGGAATTTGAAAGTATTTCATCTGGAAAGCTGATGAATAAAGTTTCAGTTATATACATCCCCCCCCCCCCCAAGAAAATCAGTCAATGCTACCAACACAGTTGCAGGAAACAAGTTTCCTGCGGGCAGAGATCTAGGTTGGTGGACTTCGGTTGGCTTCTCCCTGCTGTCCTGCAGTCACGCTTCATAATCGTACTCAGCTTTAACCCTTCATTCACCCTCACAGCTGTTCCCTTTCCTGCAAACACTCTGCACCTCTGTCTTTCCCCTAACAGCCACAGCATATGACTGATGGAAAATAATCATTGTGTTGCTCACAAACACTCTTTCATCCACTGTCCTTGTCATCAAAACCACTGGTGCCTCTCAAGCTACACAATTTCTTCCTATGTTTTAAAGCTTGCCTCTACTCATTATTCCATCCCGTCTGAGGCCTCCCTCCTTCAGCATTGTCCTCTCGCCAGCTTTGCTGATCTTCCTCCCTGCAATGACTTCCGTGGTTCGGACTCGTGTTTCTCAGAACAGGCCCTCACTTTCATTGCTTGGCATCAGTGCCATTTATTTCTTTACACTAGCTTCTTGGCCGTCACAAACAATAAATCTTTGTGTATTTCTTAAATTCACAAATACAGAAATCTTTTGTGCTTTGTACATGCTCCTAGCTTTTCTGCTCAAGGAGTCATGAGTTTCCTGAACATGTCATTAGTTTTCAGTTCAAGTTTAAAGTTTTCACTCTCTTGATTGACATTTTTCAAATAACTTTTTTTTTAAAAAAAGCATTTTGAGGGGTAACTTGTTCTTGACAGCATGTAGAAGAAACCAAGTCATCTTGAGAAGTAAATGTTAGATGGGGAGCTAGCCTCACATGCCAGCTAAGGATTTTACTTACACATTCTGGCCTCGGAGAGTATTATTCAGATCCAGGTCCTAGAATTTGGGTCATGGAACCTAAAGGTTACTTGCAAAGTCAAACACTATAGATGTTATATTGACAAGCTAGATGAGATTTAGAGGGATATTTTAACCAAAATCATGACTGAGTACCCATATAATTAACATGAAATAGAGCTATTTTCAGAAATATTTACATACCTTCACTAGACAGAATAATTCTAAGTATCTGTTTGAAATGCATGGATGATTGATCAAACCAGCTTATTAAAAAAACCTTCACGTTATTGTACATTGTTTTAAAAATTAGCTTCCAATGTTAGGTAGGCTTATCTTTATAGCATTTTCTCCACGGAGTTTACCCATCTAAATAATTCAAAAGGTAATAAACTTTAATTTTTGACAATTTACTATTTTAACCTAAAATAACCTAAAATAGCATGAAAAATTAAATCTGCAGTGGATTTAACATATGCTTTCAAATTATCTTAGCAAAGGCAATAGTCCTAAACACTTGGATTTAATGGCCAAGATCTGGTGTGGCTCAGCCTCCGGTTTGAATTGCCGTATGGAACCAGGTTTCTACACTAGGGCTGCATTGAAATCTAAATTAGAAAAGTGAAATGGTCTAAAAGTAAAGGTCTCTGTTCATATAGATGAATAAATAATATTGAGGTATTTAGTCATACTGTGGAAAAAGAACACATCCAAACAAAATGATTACAGAATTACTTTGGGAATGTGGTTCAGCTTTTGGACAAGTCTGTGAACCTCTTTGTAACTTCTTAACCTCATCTGCTCTCTTTGTTGATATGGAGGATTATCTCAAATATTTGATATATCTTAAACATGTATAATAACTAAAATAAAATACAATTGAATTAAAATATGGAGTCAAGGATAAGAATGAAAAAATAGAATGTGCATGTGTGGTCTATGAGATCATACCTAAGCCGGTGCAGTTAAACACTCAACTTGTTCTTGAGTTGTTGGTAGAAAAGTAAAAAGGAAAATATAGTTGCATGGCATTTTGTCCAAAAGGAGAAAATATACTAGTGTTCCAAGAAAAGCAAAGCTTTCCTTATGACTTAACTCTAAAAGAAATGTTTTGAATGGCTTCATTGAATGGATATCATAATGGATAATATCACTAAAGCAAATACAAAATACAAATCCTGCTAAATTATTCCTCAAGGCTTTGCTTCCTGAAGTTTGCCTTAATCTGCGTAATGAAGTAGTCACATTGTAGGAAAGGATGGTAAACTAAAGGGACACCCCCGAACTTAAGAGAAATGGAAAGAAAATGACACATAGTTTGTTTTGGTCCCTAACATAGTATTCCCATCACTTTTAAAAATAATCTGCATTTACTTGAAATGAAATTAGGTTTCACTAGACTAATACCAGTTCCTTAAATTTCCCTCACAAAATTTCTTAAAGGTCAAATATTCATGCTTAATCTACGTTTAAATGTTGCTAAGCAAATGGTAATCCATATTATTGCTGCCTTTGAAATAACAGCTCAAATAATCTATTTTGAGGGGTCAGACCTAAGTCTTCTAAATTGATTGTCCCTCATTTACATATAAGAAACCTCAGTGAACAGTGATTGTCCACTTTGCAATTTTAGCAACCCATTGTCTTTTTGCCTTGCAGGTATTCAACTTTGACGTGCGCCAGTTGAACTGGTTGGAATACATTGAAAATTATGTTTTAGGAGTTAAGAAGTATTTATTGAAAGAGGATATGGCTGGGGTCCCAGAAGCAAAGCAACACTTAAGAAGGTAAGCATAGTCAGTCACTTAATATTTACTGAGCACTTACTTTGTGTATCTGATTTTTTATACCAGACGTGAAAATGGAGTGGGTGAGGGGAGGAATTAACATTGTGGAAGCACTTACTACATTAACAGGTCCTTCCCTGTGTACTGTACCCTGTGATACACTGTTTCATTTAAACTTCAGAACCCCCTATGAGGAAGGTGTTATTTCTGTTATCCAATTTTTATCAAAGAACTGGTTAGGCTGAAAGAAGGTAAGTAATTTGTTCATGGTAACATATGGTAAGTTCAAGAGCCAAATCTGAACCCAACTTCTCTGATTCTTCTACCATACCCTATCATAATATGACAAACTATGGAAGTGATCCCTGATAGTCTTACCATACTGTGATACAGAGAAAGGTTCCCCGACAACAGGAGACCTGATCTCACTATTTAACGTGGTGAATCACTTAACCACTCCTCAAGTCTTTCAACTGCCTTCAATTTGTCCCTTAAATGACAAAGAATTAGGACACATGGATAAAAACCAGGGGCAGATGGAAATGGGAGGGAGGAGGGGAGGGCTGGGTGGGTGGGTTGGGATGGGAGTAAAAGATACAAAATTGTACTGCAACAATTAAAATAAAATTTAAAAAAAAGAGACAAAGAATTATAGCAGTCTGGTGTAATTCTGGTAGAAGCAAAGGGTTTTTAATAGAGAGATGGTAAGAATGCAAAAGAAAATTGCAAACAGAGTGGAACTTTGATTAGGAGGCTCAGAACTTTAGAACTTACCCTCTAGTGAAAAAGAACCAGTGAAGATTTGTTATATGGTAATATGATCAAACTATATTCAAGAAAGATTGTTGGTCTTGTTTGCAAGACAGGATAGAAAGAGGTATGAGAAAGAGAAACTGTTCAGGGTAATATTATAGAAATCTGATTATTGAGAAAGATGTAGAAATAAAAGATATGAAATACAAAATCAAAAGGCTATCAGGTCATATCTGTGAGTCTTCAATTACTTGTTTGTCACAGCCCAGAATAGACACTATCTGAAGTGTACGCTTCAGATGGCATTAGTTGGGTACTTGGCACCGTTTTAACTTTGGTTATGTATTCCCGTTCCCCAGGCTCCGCAACATTCACTACCTCTTTAATACCGCCCTCTTCCTCATCGCCTGGCGCCTCCTCATCGCAAGATCCCAGATGGCTCGGAATGTCTGGCTCTTCATTGTGAGCCTCTGTTACAAATGCATCTCCTACTTTAGGGCATCCAGCACGCTCAAGGCCTGACGACGTTTGTCAGTCTCTACTTATCTGGAACCTCTCCGATACCTCTGAAACAGCCAACTGTGGTTCTCAAGATGAGGAGTAACAAAGAATATGTAACCTCATTACCTGTCCAATGTGCTGTCACATATCCATCCCTATTTCTTAGTTGTATGTTCTTTTTATTACAGTGAGAGAAGGAAAGTCATGTCCTACCCTATAATCATATATATTTTAGGAATTATTTCCAGACTGTTTTCTAACACCCTAGTCTATGCCCTTGAATAAAAAACACCAAAGTACAACCCTATTTCTACACTTAGCATGTTTCTCCTTCAGAGGACTAGTTTCAACTCAAAAGAACATGGAAGAACACATGGTAGAAGCTGAATTATGCTTTAAAAAAAACTGGCAGTTCTAACCTTGGGACTATTCTAGGGTACCCAATATAAAGGTTTAAAATCAATGTAAGTGGAGAGAGAATGGTCTCAACATCCTCTTAACGTTAATAGAAATACTTTCATTCTCCACTGAAAAGTTTGCTTCCTTCCTTGTGTTACACCATGGAGTCCTGGTTGAAGGCTGGGGGAATTAGAAAACTGGACTTACATTTAATATTTTTCTTAACTAGATCCACTTCTGAAACCTACAAAGAACTGAGGTGTAAATAATTGTGCACAGAATGAGGGCTCAAGCATACCTGCATTGACTTGGTTCGTTATGCTTTTAACTAAAAATCCTCATAATTTGAATTTGACAACTATTATTTCTAAATCTTTTGAATTACCAATTTTCTTGATAACCTTCTCTCAAGCATTTCCTTCTTCTTCATCCAACTCACCAAACCCCTTATATTCAGACTTGTTTTACTCAGGCCTCAGTGACAAATGGAGAGGAAGGTTCTAGGCTGGAATCGTAAAAACCCAGTCCCCTGATCTTTGCCACTGAGGAAAGGAAAACTTCAAAAATGTAAATTTAGTTTTAGTCTTTTTCTATGAAGTGGGTAAGGTTACTCGTCTGTGATCCCCAGGATCTGCGAGTACTATGACCATCCAACTGTACAATGTACAGCAGGAGAGGTCATTAAGTGACTCCAAGTTTAGAGAATAGGTGTTTTGTTTAAAAATATTTTGTGTAATGAAAATGAATTAGTACTATATTTATTCTCAAATTTCTGTATTATTAATATATCCCAACTTTCCTCATATTTGAGAAGTCAGTGCGTGGTGTAGTATTTGATGTTATAAACATGAACATTCAAATATAATATCTGAGGCCTACACAATTAAAAATAATCACAACTACTAGAAAATTAAATGAGCATAGGATGTTAACAAGTTATATTTATGCTCACTCTCTGGAATATTTGGTAATACTTAGAATGACACATTCAAGTAGCTGATATGTACAAGGCCTTGAGGGCGGCTCCTAGCATTACTTCAGATTTTTCTGAGCCCCTAAAGGACATTTTGCAGGCACTCTTCTGGGCAGTGTCTTTCCCAATCTCATTTAAGTTCTGGGAACTACTTTCCAGGGCAGATGACACAGCTCTGAAACAAAACACCTGGTGATCTTCAACTTGAGATGTCTATTTTTGAGTTACACTGATAAAAGATACAAACTAGGTATGGTAAAAATGAAATCAAGATATACAATTCAATGAGATTGGATAAAACATAATAGTTCTAAGAATTTATTATTTTTTGATTATTGTTTCCCTAATTGAATAAATTGCACTGATCAAGTATTCATTTTGGCTTTTGATTAAATAAAAATTTGCATTAAAAATGTCTCTCTTCCTGTGTTTTATCTTTAACTGCTGACTACTGTGGATCTCCATCCCACTGAGAAAAAAGGCTATTATCTTTCAAAGAACCTACCAGGCTAATATAAATTAACACATAGGCATATAACACTTCACTTTTTCTCACACCATTAATAGGGTTGTGTTTACATGCTGAAGCATGTTCTATCCGCGGCATTAAAGAAATGACATGAAGAAAATTCTCTTGTGATTAAGCAGTGACAGTGGATAGGTGTCTGTATGAAAGAAATTATTTTAATCAAGACCAATTAACAAGGATTTGAGTGCCTACGTGCAATGAGAAAGAACCTTCTACTTTGGGGGGGAAGGAATGGCAAGTAACAGAAAGGAAAGGTATCTATGTTTAAAAAGAAGTTTCAGTAATCCCTATATTCTGTACTCACTAGACACCTGATGCGGTAATAAATACTACCGAGTTGAAGACAGCCACCACCTGAAGCAATTGATACTAGAAAAAGTTGAGGTAGATGGGCCCACAACTGAGAAAAACACTTCTCACAATTTTATATTAATGTAACATCATCATTTTCAGTAAACAATTAACTGACTTAGAATCCCAAGGTAAACAGACTGATCTGAGGGACTAATACCCAAATAGTGTTTTATCTCACAATGACCTTAACAGGTCGGCCTTAACCTTCCAAAAGCATCAATATTTTCCAAAGTTCAGAAGAATCACATGCAAATTTCCACATGGCTATTTTTCTAGAACTGCAAGTCTGATGTACGGAAACATAAGCAACTACCTATAGAAAAAAGTATGGTTGTTTCCTATGCCCACACAATGCTTGGAAACATGTTCACTGCCTAGATTAGTGTGTGTGTGTGTGTGTGTGTGTGTGTATTTTAAAGGTTAATGAAACTGGCAATTGCCAGTTTTAAGATGTAATTTGCTTATCAGAAGGGAGTACCCTGTGAAGTGTAGCTACATAAGGCAAAGAAAGGATAATTGAAATTGAGTTTAAATAGCTAGAAACAACTCTTCTGATACACAAATATTTTTAGTATGCCCATACTTTAGTACATAATCAACTGATTTACACATTAGTATAACTGCTTGAAAGTAGAGAGCAATTTATAAAATATTTATTATATAGTTTATCTAAGTTGTTGCTGAACGTCTGCTTTAGTACAATATGTAGCTTCATTAATGGATACTTTCCCCCACACCTTCTCATTTTTTTAAGTTTTACCTAAAATTAGACAATATGGTGTGAGTTATATTTTGAGGAGCTGTTGATCTAATTCCTTCAGATAAACATTCCTCTGAAAATAATGAGTTTTACTTTCCCTTTTTAATCTGGACGCCTTTATTTCTTTTTCTTGTCTACTTGCTTTGCTGAGAACTTCCAATGCCATGCTGAATGAAACTGGTGAGGGTGGGCATCCTTGTCTTGGTCCTGATCATAGGGGAAGAGTTTTGTTTTCTCCATTGTTATATTAGCTGAGGGTTAGTAAGTATCCCATACAATTTGGAGTTGCTAAAAAAACTATTTAAATGTTTTGCTGATTATAATCTTCAACTCTACTGATTTACAGACTTGCATCAACTGTTCAATTTAAATCATGCATTTATATCTAACAAGAAAAAAATAAAGTAAATCCAATCTCATAATTTAAATTACGAGATTGCTTCATCTGGACAAAAGCAAATATAAATAAGTGATATTTAAAGACTACTATAGTTTTCCTGGGCTGGGAAAGCGCAAACATGAGGAACTGAGGCTTCATTGTGGACACTAGACTGTGGAAGGACAAAGACATTGCTTTACGATGTGTCATTTCATTTAGAGTCCATATGCCCAAGACTGACACTAAACAAGTGGATTTTGTTCTTTGAACAAAAAACACCAAACTCCAAGGTGGTTTGTTTCCTACTCTTAAAATAATGCAAAGTGTTTTCATCACTGAAGAAATATTTCAAAAGGGGAAAAAAACTGTAAGGACCTAGTTGGATATTAATTCAGGCAGCAAGGTGTGAAGAAATGGTGATCTCTTTTAAACAGTGCTGGCCAAGGGCAATCCCCTTTGGCTTACCAAAAGTTTGCTAGAGCTCTGAATACAAGGGGAAGTACAGGTTAAAGGGCATGGTGAAATTTGTAAGGTCCTAAGGCTCAGGTGTAAGTAAATTTTAAACAACAAAAAATATGCATCTTGAATTCAGGTTCAAGATCCAAAGTTTTGAATTTTAAGGCAAGGATGTTGCATGTAAATTTACTTTTTGGGACTAAATTATTAACCTAAGATATAAAGACAGACTGTATAATATTGCCCTCCCACAACACCATTAAAAAGAAATCTTTTTTCTTTGTGAATTCCAAAGTTTGTATTAATTATAAATTTTGCTTGCACTTGTAAATTTATTATAAAAATTCAGTGCTTTGTATCATAAAATGTATGAGAAAAGTATGATATTAATCACCTAAGTTGGAAGTTAGAATTTTGTGACTCTAGTATTGAGTTAAGCCTTTACCAAGAGGTAGTCTGAAGCATACGAATATTGCAGCAGAAAATTATTCACCTAAATATTTCACCTCTTCTTATTGGCCAATGAATGCAAATACATTTTTAAAAATTTTCATGTAACTTGAGGTCTCAGTTTTTAAAATATTTAGGCTGAAGTATATACATGTAGATAATATGAATAGCTTAATAAAATAAAAAGCAAGACTGAGTTAGTAAAGTTAGATATCCTACTGAAGGCACCCCAGGCACCAGCCAAAGTGCCTAATAGGAAGGTAGGTCAGTACAGTGTCCTCTGCAATTGAAAAGAAACACTTGGTGAGATCAAAACACGTAACAAATCTGAATATACTCCCTCATCCATCATCCAAAGGGCTGGTCAGAATCTTATGTATTGATTGCCAAAAATCTGATCTTGCTGTTCAAGGAATTTTAGCTGGAAACCTTTAACTTTTAAAATAAAAATCAATAGCAAAGCTGAATTTTGCTTTAAGAAATTCCTTTTGTAGTTTTAATGGGACAGATTAATTTCATTAAAATTTCAATATGGTATTTGGAAAACATGAAAATAAATATATATATAAATACCAAAATAATTTTTAAAATTCTTAAAGATACCTGTCATAATCCTAACAGTAAGAAAATAATTCTAAATCATTCTTGTTTTTCCTTCCCTAAAAAAACACCCCGAAATTTCATTGAACTTTCTGACAAGCAGATTTACAAAACCAAAATTCAGTCTAAAAATAGCTAAAATTCTAATTCTCTCCAGCTGAAATTCCTTTTGAGACATGTTCTATTAGTTCCTACTCTAACTTCATTAGGAATATCTGAAGAAACAAAAAAATACATGGATTGTTTTGAAATTTTCTGGATTCAAATATCTTTCAAAGCATGTTATATCACCTGTATTAATCAGTTAACTCTGTGGCTCCTAATGATAAAATGTGTATTTTAAACATTGATGCTTCTGTTATTTTCAGCAAAATATCATTCAGTGTAAGCTTTACTGCAAAGTAGGTTTACCAGTATTTCTCCTCTCACTACATTACTGTCCCAACTGTTTTCAAAAAAACTTTTTTAACCTTCAAAAAAATCCACTTGAAAAACTGTAACTGTGACAGCCTGTTCTCTAAAAACCATGATTTTAAATCTAGTTTTTCAGTCTTGGCCTTGTTCCTTACCCGGAGTTTTTGTCTCACTTCCCTAAGTGATTTAAAACATGGAGATGGGTTGGTGACTCTTCTACTATTAAGTATTACAAAAGGAAAACTGATGTTGGCACACACATTCCAAAGAAGTTTTTAATGGCACCTGAGTGATATCTCCCTTATTATTTTTAATCTTTTATAGTCTGAAAATTTTAAATCAAGCCTTAAATAGTACGAAAGCCAGAACAACACAATCTAATACACAGTCTACCACATTCAGGACAGTCTGAATGCAGACACTTCTCCCATCATTTTACAGTGTAATGGACATCGTTTAATATGATCATCTCCCAATGACATCTTGTTTTCCTTAAATAGTTGTCTCACACTTCTGTTTTACTTACAGTTACCCTGTTGCCTGCTCACCACAAAATGTATAAAATATTCTACTTTTCCTCTTAATATTTTACAAACTGATAATTTTCATCATCAGTAGTGGATCTTTTTATTACTCACCCCCCACTCCAAAATATACCAACAATATAAGGATCATATTAGGAAATTTAGCAGGTTTTTAAAAAATGTGCTTTCTTCTCCCCATATAAGTGCCCACTATACAATTTGTGAATGATTTCTGTTACATATTATAGCACCTATATACCTGCCCCTCTAAGAATTCACCTCAGTCTTCCATGACCCTGCCTTGAAAAGTTAACAAAGTCAATAGCCAGAGTTTAAAGAAAAGCAGTTACCTTCATAAAACCAAGTTACTGGATAAACGGTCTTGTCATTATGGCTTAACATTAATATGGCTACAGCACGTGAGCCCATCCCTGTTTGCCTCTATTAACAATGTGACCTGATCACAACTTTTTAAAGTCTAGACTAGTTTTCCATATGTTTTACATATTTTATTCTGACACGGTATTTTAAAAACAAAAGGACGCAGACATTAGCACTATTAATGCCTTTTTCTTTAGACGCGGTTTGACTTCTTTCCTTTAGGTCTTCAAGGTCTGATTTCAAAACAGCCCATTTGCTATGAAAATATCAGGAAGGGTCGTCTTCAAAGCAATATTCCAGCTGGGCTTCTTCACTGATTAGCTGCATAATTTCTTCTAAGACATTTGTAACAGACACAACATATATAGGATTTCAGTTTCCGTTTTCTTTGTTTTTCCTAGGTATGAATCCTGCTTCTTATTCATATTTTTTCTTTTGAATATATTGCACAATATTTTCTTATTAAAAAAAGGTTTTATATCTCAGGCAAAAAGTTTTTCTCCTTCATCTGGGAGATGCTAATGTGTATTATTTTCTAAAAGAGGTAAGTGGTTGTTTGTGTGGCCATCCTCAAAGGGGACCTAGGGAGAAAGAGACCAGAGCTTCAGTTTTATTCCTTATGCCATTTCCTCCAAACACAATGCTTTATTTGGGGCAATTTTTTTTTGGGGGGGAGGGGGACACCAAAATACTATTTAGAGTTAACAATGGTACTGTGAGTTCAAGATCAATACCATTTATTCTACACCACTTACAGAGCTGACGGGTTTGTGGGATCCAAGTCTGAAACGACAGTAAATTATCTCAACTATAAATTTTCCAATTCCATGTAACATGCCTGTAATAAAAATGTTTTAATTAAATTATGCTTTTAATGAAATTATTTCTTAAATTGCTATGTAATATAAAACTAAACTAGTTATAATGGAATAAATTAAGGAAGGAAATAAAGCAGTTTGCTTTACTCCCACAGTTAAAAATAAGAAGACAGTTAAATTAATTTCTTTTCAAAATTACAAGACCAAGTAATTCATGATCTTGACAAAGCAATCTCTTCAAGGGTGTTTAATAATCTCACATCCACATAATTTTGAAAAATAAATAATACCAGCACCACAAATTTAAATGTATTTAAATGAAGCAGTGACAAAGACTTTTACAAGAAAAGCTAGTCATTCATTTAAAAAATATAATTAAAAGTATATAAACTACTCAGCTCCATGTAATATTGAATAGGGGTTGGGGAAAAGAAGGAACTATTTCCTTTTTTTATCTATTGCACTTAACTCTCAAATTTTCATGGTTACAATTCTGCAAGTTACCATTTTTGAGAGAACTCCATAATCTTAGGGCAAAATGACCCAAATCATAAAAACACTGACTGAACTATCATAGTTTAAACTACCATAATATATGATTTTACATATTGCACAGTTAAAAATACTTTAAGTGAGTAAGAAAATTTACATTCAAGTGTCTACTATTTCTAAGTGTCATTTATTTCTAAGTATTTTCTTGTCTAATCCTACAACATGCTTTCAAAGTAGAAACCATCATTCCCTTTTTTATAAATGAAAAACAACTTCGGAAAGGGTAGATGATCTACAGAAGCCGACCACTATGTATATGGAAGGACTTGGACTCACGCCTAGGGTCATTCTAGCTTATTAAGCTGTCTCTCTTAAATCGCTGAATGCAGTAAACTTAATTATGCTTAACGCTTAAGCAATTAATTTTGGAGGTTTGGAATGAAGTCTTAAAGTGTAAATTCTTCATTTTATCAAAACATGAAAATGTGCATATTTCTTGCTCCTTTTAAGTAAAAGCATCTTAATTTCAGTGTCAGCAACACTTTTAGAAATTGGACCAAAAAAAGGAATGAATCTTTACCTGTTGTTGAAAAGATTCCTCCGACAATACCACAGAGTCTTACAAAAAACTGCCAGAATGGCATATGCTCTTCAGTAACTGTCACCATAAGAGAACTGAGATCGTATTTCATAAATATCCCAGAGACTCCGTGGCTGCCTGCAGCATGGTTAACAACGCGCTCCTGAAAGGGAGGCAGAAAGACGGGGAGAGATGGGAGGAGGAGAAAAGCAGGACTCGTGTCATCTGGGTACTTAACTTTTATAATCAGCATGAAGCCCTACACCTGTACCGTATGAGAGAAACACCCAAATCTTTGTACAAATTGTCCTACTAGATTAAAATCTTAAGACAATCAAATTTTTGCATTTTCTTTGTGTGGTTAGATTTTGAAGCAATCAGAAGAACAGAATCATACTTTCCTATTTTCTCTGAAATATCACTTTACATACAAGTTTTCTATTGAACTCAAGAGCTTACAGCTGAATGGCACATTCTTCATGGACCAAATCAATTAAAAAAGTTTATATTTTGACTTTAAACAAATATTTTTTTATATTTATTTGTTAAGAACTTACAAAATAATATTTACCTGTTATTTAAATAATCAGATTTAAAAACAAATACTTTCAGGCCCTGGCTGGCGTAGCTCAGTGGATTGAGCGCGGGCTGGGAACCAAAGTGTCCCAGGTTCGATTCCCAGCCAGGGTACATTCCTGGGTTGCAGGCCATAACTCCCAGCAACCGCACATTGATGTTTCTCTTTCTCTCTCTCTCTCTCTTTCTCTCTCTCTCTCTCTCTCTCTCCTTCCCTTCCCTCCCTAAAAACAAATAAATAAAATCTTTTAAAAAAATAAATAAATAAAAACAAATACTTTCAGTCTGTGTTGTTCATTTTCAACTGCATAATATATACCACAGGAAGAAAACAATGCATTAATTTGAAAGATACCAATATTTAAGTGATTGGTTCCATGTTTAAAGAAAGTTTTTTTCTTTAAAAAAATGTAACTAAAATTATAAACCTACTGCAGTGTGCACACTGAGAAAGTAATAATTCTATTTCATTCCATTCAGTTTACACTTTCAAAAATCAAGTTTGCAAACTTTCTAATAAATTTCTATTATGGCTCAAAACAACCATGCCAACCAAAGTGGTTTGCTATGACTTTTATGTGAGGCCCTACCTATTTTGGCTAAGCTATAACTAAATTGCAAGCTTTAGAATAAAACAATTTTATGTGGACATTACAAAACCCCTTCCCTATTAACACAACTGTGTCTTATGAAGCCATTGTTCAAGTTTCCAATAAAGTGACTTCATCTTAAAGCTCTGGTATGTCCAACCATGCCAAAATTATAAATATACCGTCAACACCTATATGAATTAAAGCTGTTTCAGGGATCAGAGTGTCCACATAACAAAAGACTAATAATGATTCCCTCTGGGGGGCAGGACCAGTGAGTGAAGATCAGTTCTTCCCATTTCTGTCCCCCTCATCTTCCACTTTACCAACTCCAGTTACTCCATTTTTATTTTAAAGTGCAACTCAATTATTTTAGTCACCTTATCAGCACAAATCCCACAATGGTCAAACACTCTGGGATTCTATTTTTTAAATTTAATTTTGTTACTTAAAATACGTTATGGAGATAATGCAACAATTTCATATCAGCATACAGATATCTCTTTCTCTCTTTAAGAAACTGCATGTTCCTCCATTGTGTGGATGTACCACACAATGGAGAGTCTCATACACACATCATTTTTGTATTTTTTACTTGATCTTTGCATTTAACTTCTAGAAGAAGGATTGCTGCTCAAAGCATAAATGCATACATCATTCTGTACATATTGCCAAACTCCCTTCCATAGAGACTATGCCATTTTACATTCCCATAGAATAAAATGTGCGCCTATTTTTTCTGAAAGCCTTGCCACTGTGTGGACTGATGTTCATTCGGGTGGTGCCAGTCTTAGTGAGAAATGGTATTTTCCCACCCCTACAGCAATGCAGAAAAGTACAAAATACACCTGTTCACACTTGACCTAGTCTCGTTGTGTGTGTAAACACACACAGTTACACATACTTTATTTTTTCCCTTGAACCATGTAAAAAGTTATAAACATGTAACATTTCACTCCTAAAATCTTCAATATTTAATCTCCTTACAATAGGGAAATTTTACAATTATTGAGGACACAGCCATCACAAATTGTAAGACCATTAAGAGAAAATTCTATATTGAGGAAAACAAATTTTTAAAGCACTTAAGTGTTGCCTCAGAATTCTTTAGAATAGTATCTGAATATTCACCATTCTTGAACACAATAAGAAAACATGACCCCAGAATAGATGAGAAATGTTAAACCATGTAGTTCCAAAAGGCTGATCCTCACTGTCATATTTATTTATAAGGCAACTCCACCCTGAGATTGCAGAGCATTTGTCCTTTCAAATAGACAAATACAAGGCACAAGTTAGAAAGCCAAACCCTTAAAATCTGTTATTTGAGCCACAATAACCATGCATGCCCTAGGTTAGATACATTAATTAAAAAATAAATAACAAATACATAAATCAGAAAATCTTCTGGCAAATAAGAAAATTGCAGCCTTGACTGGTGTGGCTCAGTGGATTGAGTGCCAGCCCAAGAACCAAAAGGTCACCGGTCTGATTCCCAGTCAGGGCACATGCCTGGGTTGTGAGCCAGGTCCCCAGTAGGAGGTGTGCAAGAGACAACCACATATCAATGTTCTCTCCCTTTCTTTCTCTCTCCTTCCCCCTCTCTCTAAAAGCAAATAAATAAAATCTTTTAAATAAATGAGAAAACTTTACAAAATTAAGATATTCAGAATATCTTAATGTATTGTAAGAATATCTTAATGTATTTAAAAATACATGAGAAAACGTTACAAAATTAAGATATTAAGAATAAAATACCACCACAGTTTAACAATTTAGACTTAACTGAACACAAAACCTTCCAGATTTAAAAAATTTACTTCTTTGTTTGATCTAGAACATACTAACACCTATTTCTGATATTTTATTATCTTAAAATAAAATGTTAATGTATTTCAAAATTCCCACAAATTTTACAAGAAGGAGGACACCAAATGAAACTACAACCTTATTTTGTAACAGGAGGACTATAAAATGTCAAAAAAAATATCATCAGTTGGATTTAACTTACCCTTTCTGTCACAGAAAACTGATGGGTATCTGCTGAAATTTTATATGTATGTAGTTTTGTTGGCACAACTGTAATGAAATACTGGAACATCCGGTTGTCTAGAATAAAACAAAATGTGTTTCTTCCCCCATCAATATAGTAGCAACAAAACTATTGCCAAATATATCCTCCTTCTATTAAATACACTTAACCTGAAATTTAATGCTACTTGTGACTTAATGTCTAAAAAAAGTTTTAAAACAATGAATGAAATCAAAATACTAATACTTGATGAAACAAGTTCTCAGTAATCATAAAATAGTCACACACACACACATCTTTTATATTTAAAAAGATGAACTAGGCACTTAGATACCTTTATAGTCGTTATTACCCTTATACCAAATACGGAAAATAAAAGTAGCATTCCCTTATAGTAGAGAAACTTATAATAATAAAGTTATAGTACCATATTCACTGCACGACAAATTTTTAGTTTATACTGATATCTTAAGATAGGTAAATAAACCAAAGTTGAATTAGCTGGCTTTTGGATAAATATATAAAGAACTGATACCACAGCAGAAAGATATATAAAGAAACTTCTCAGTGATGGCCTGGGGTTATTGTGTAATCAAAAGGATCATATTTACATAGTCATTAAGCATTTTGGGTTTAGTATAAGTCATAAATACCAGTTTATTACCAATTATTAATTTTAAGTAATTAACAGATAATACAATCTAAAACATTAACTCTCTAGGTCTGTATTATAAAAAATTTAGTTAGATATGTTACAGTTTCCAGTAGATAATAGTGCCTCATTATGTTTGACCTGCAAACAAGTGTACTTCACACCACATGGTAATAACTGTCTATGAGAACTATGTGCATGAATAAAATGTACTAATTTTAAACACACAGTTTGATACATTTTAACAAATGCACTCATCCATATGATCATCACCACAATGAAAATATAAAACATTTTGATCACATCAAAACTTCCCTTGCACTCCTCTGTGGTTGATCCCCTCTATCTCTGACCCTAGGCAACCACTTGTCTACCTCCTATTGTCAGGGATTAGTTTTGCCTATTCGAGAATTTCATTATAAATGAAAGCATACATTGTATGTCTATTTTTTTTCTCAGCATGAATAAACTTTTATTTCTAAAAATCCATTTTCTCTCCTCTTACCTCGGTGTAATTCTGAATGGGGGAGGGAAGGGTAAAAGTAGGTAGGAGGGAGAGAGGTATACATAATGGTTTCTTCAATAAACCAAAGCCTATTTCAACTTCACCACTTATTTCTCTTACAACTTGTACCACTGTAACTTTCAAAACCAAACAGTTCTCCCATTACTAATAAAGAAATAGTATCTTCTAACTAATGATTATTTTTTTGACCAGCTCTCCCATTGCTAATTTCTACTTAATATCCTAAATATTATTACAGACAATGTTGGGGTGAAAGGATGCCAACTTTGTCTACCACCAATAGAAGGATTATCAATTGCGGATGGTCTTTAGTTTCATCCTTTCAGTTGTTCTGCGATGTAAGGTGAGTTGCTCAACCTATGCTTAGTTTTAGGTGTTTTACAAATAAACTTTATCATGTCATAGACAAAGAAAGCGAGCTAAAAAATGCTAGGGAAAAAGGTGTTTAGGTATTAAGTATTTTGAAAAAAGATGACACTGAGAGGGGTGAGGCGGTAACCAGTGCTGTACGTATGGGAAACCTTGGGAGGAAGGACAGAGGAAACCTCTCACCGTCAGTTAGGAGTGAAGTGTCACTGCAGTAAATAACAAACAAGGGTCAAAGAAACAGGACAGGAAAAATTGGAGACCTTTAACCAGTGGCCAGACAACTACTGAAGGCCTATTTGTACGATATTAATTCAAGAGAGGGCTATAACTTTGTTAAATAACTTAACTACCAGGCTGGGCAGAGGGTGGGTAGGTGTGGAAAATGCAGTTGAATGACATTTTGCTGCAAGCCGTAAAATGTTCCAAAGGTTTCAGATCTGTCCAAATCTGCATGGTTTTAAACGTGTAACTGCTAAGTAATCCCCTCAAAACTTCTGGAGAACATCAAGGAGGAGGTGGTTACCTGAACACAACAGATTTGTAATGCTGATCTGTTTTTTCTCTTTTGGAAAAAGAAGCCCAACAGAACATATGTTAGGAAAAAGAGTATACCTGCTTTAAAGCTTTGAATAACTTACTCACTTGTCTGATGGCATTTTATAACAAAACCCTAAATACCTACTAGTCTTTGAATTTAGGAACATGTGGACATAAAGTGAGCCTTTTGAAAATTAATGTTTATATTTAGTGCTACTTCTGTAGGGAAATTTATAGTTCATTTTGACATCTTGAAACAAAGCATTATTAACCAACATGTTTTCAAATGAGCATCTCTTAAAGTAATATTTAGTGCATTTTGGTGTAGAATGAACATATACTTAAATTAAAGATGAGATTATAATGAATGCAGTTTATAATTTCTACTCACATTAATGAATTCAGTACACTTAAGTTTCCTTAAGTGAAAAAATTCTCATACAAACATAACATATTCATGAATGAAAGTCAGTATTGTAAGTATAACATCTGATTATGAGACTATGCTAAAAGAGTAAAATACTGAAAAGAATATTAATAAATCTGTTTGGATTAATAAAAATGAAACCCTTAATTCTAGTTCTGCAAAGGTTAGAATTCCTACTAGCACAGGAAGCTTTAGACATCCCTAAAAGGTCTGACAGGTGGGACATGCCATGCAGTATCACTGTTTAAGAAGAGGAAAGCAACCAAAACCCATCATGAAAGTCAAGAATAAATTATTTGCTAAAAAAAGTAATAATAATAATAACCCACCCATATTTGGAAAAACTGATATTTTAAGTGGAATAGAAGGTTAAAACAAAGTAAAAGCTATCTCTGCTATAACGTACAACTTTTGTGTTAATAACCAAAAACCATTCTGGAATAACTCTAGGTTTCTGATGTTTGTGAAGCTCTCCAAAGAGGTTTCTAAAATGGTAAATATACATTTTAGAACTTTGAACCTATACAAACCAGGAAATTCTTCTTGGAATGTTGAAACTTTCTTTTATTCTAATTCTTTCTTTGGTGAATCTAAGAAAGAAGTTCTGCCCTACTGACACATTAACCTTTCATATATTGAGAGAATTTTTTTAAGTGCTACTTCTTCTCTAGCTTATATTTAACTCTAATTTCTTACTCTGTTCTATGGATTTGTTTTTAACATTTAAATTTTATCCACTACTAGGACAAAATCTCTCCATACACATCTCCAATTAAAGGTTATCAACCACTTCAACTACTTAAAGATTTATCTGTTTATTTGTTACAAGGGGGTTAAGAAGAGGATTAAAAATATATTAGTATTCAAGACATAAAACACTGCCTATACACAGATTTCCATAGCAAATATTAAGTACTTACGATCTACAGCAATTTTTTCAGTTCCGTCTAGAGGATTAACAATTCCTGGAACAAGCTCTCCAAAAGACAAATGATCTATTCTGTGAGAAAAGTTGTATGCTGAGGCAAAAAATAAAGGCAATAGGTAGATAAATTACTATTCAAAACACATATTATACATGGGTTCACATTCTTATCTACTTTCAGATGAAAACATCTAAAATCTGCAAGTATAATATAGTATTTAAAACTGCATTAATTTTAAGAAAAATGCAAATAAATATGTGGAAATTAAATGCATGTAAGTAAATTCTGATAAAATGCTATATCTCAAATTTCATGATTACATACAAATTAAGGTCTAAGAAATAATATTACATCCAACCCTAAGAACCTAGAAAGTTAAGTCTTTCTTGGTTCAAATCATCACATAATAATAGGATTGTGTTGTCAAAACAGGGATACCAATGAACCCAAATATATTTGGATCAGGTATATTTTTAATACACTGCTAAATGGGACCAAGATTTTTTTGACCAAATATACTGCTGATTTTTTATGGAATTTATTACTCTTTTATTCTCAAAAGCAGACTTTAAAAACTAAGTTTTATGACAATCATTAGAAGAAACTAACTTGAATACTTTATACATACATGTGTATGTATCCATACTTAGATTTATGTATTTCCTTCATTATCCATAAAAATTAGCAGAAATGTGTACAAAGTGATAAAGGCACACTAAGGCTCTCTCCCTAACTGTGGCAACCTCAGGGCCATGACTAAACAGAAATACAAGTAGCTTAAAGACAAGAGAAAATGGATTAGAGCCAACACATTTATTATTTACTTTCTCCAAAAGGTATCTGTTTTCAAACAGCCCACTTTTGAAGCCCTACCTTGCACCTGTGCTAAAAATTAAAAAAAAAAAAACTTTTTCAAGGACATCTTCATAGAAAAAAATCTCAGAAACTGCTTACAGTCATGGTTGACAAGTGCTGCCAAATGTGCATGACCTCGGGGATGTGGAATTGCCCTGAAAGGAGGAAAAAAGATTAAAGTAATAACATTCAAATATATAACTAATTAAAATCTGAAAAGGGATCTTTCCTAAGTCATATAATTTTCTTAATATAAAATAAGAACATACTTGGCCTATGATTTAAGTAGGTAAGTCTACTCATCTCAGTGGTATTGTAAACTGAGGGTAGGAAAACTTTCCGTAAAGAGCCAGAGAGTAAATATTTTAGGTTTTGTGGGCCAAAATGAAAAACTGAAGTCAGTATGTAGTTAAGCACATAAATAAATTTTCACAAACTTCAAATGAGCACAACTATGGTCCAGTAAAACTTTATTTTAGATCCTGAAATGTGAATTTCATATATTTTTCACATGCTATGACACATTATTCCACATAAATTTCAGTGAAGGAAAGGCTGCTGAAAACTGGACAGCACTGAAGGGAGACATTTTCAATTGTCACAGTTACTGGGGAGGAATTCTACTGACATTTAGTGGCTAGCAGCCAGAGAAGCAAGGGATCCTGCCAAGGCAATGACAGTCTCACACAAAATAATATTGTCCCGCATCCTGCATGACTTCCAAACATTCTAAGTGGCACCACATAAGTGAAAAACCTATGAATAATAATCTGAGTCTAGAACTGAACTCCATTTATCTATACAAAGTAATTTGTTGTCGTTTCCACATAACACTAAATTTCCCAGGAAACAGAGGCAATGTTACATTTTGTTTTGTTCGCAGTATTACAAGGAGCTGTTCCTTATTTCAGAATACCAACTCATCAACAGAGATACCATTCATGACACTTGAGTGGCCAACATATCTGTTTCAGTCTGCATTTGCAGCTGTTGTAATGAGTCTTCATTTAAGTGGCAAGCATCTGTCTACTTCATTACTCTATCTAATGTAGCCATGATCAAGGATTTGCATACTGAAATAGTTCTCATTTATAATACAGTTGAGAATAATTCTGTGCCTGAGAGGTAATGGGAGATTTTTTTTTAATCAATATTGAATTTGGCAAATCTAGTACCAGATTATTAGGAATGGTTTATAGGACACTTCAGAGGTGATAAGTGTAAGATGCAAACTAAATGTTTTTCCATTTGGCTCTCTTATTGCTGGTATGAGTTATCACATGAAGAGAGAAGTGAAACTGGGGACAAAAAAAATAACGTAGAGGTTCATAGACTCACACAATATTTGTTAAAGTTTCCCCCTTTCAGTTAGGTTTGGAGTAGGATATTGCTTGTATCCAAAGATGTAATAAAATCTAAATTTCTCTGAACCAAGTATTATTTGCCTGTATGATACCCAAACATTGTAAGATTCCCAGATACAGACTGAAAATGGAGACAATGAGTTCTGGCAACAGTAACAAAAATGAATGTTAAAAAGAGTGGGACAACAAAGAAATGTGTGATATGATCAATGTAAACACTAAAATAATTTGCATAAAAGTCTAATGCGTGCTCTCGATCTCTCTCTCTCATCTTCTGCCTTACAACCTTCCTCTCAGTGTGGATGCCCTGGTCTCCTTTATGTATAGAATTGCTAATCATCCACTAGTTTGGACACCATTAAGGTCTTCCTCAATAAAGCCTCTGCTGACCTGCAGAGTAGGTCAGGTGCCTTGTTGTGCAGTTTATCAGCTGTACTTCTCTTTTATAGCCTCAATACAACTATAATTAAATAGTTGCTAGTGCAATTCACTGTTCAAAGTTTAGATTCTCTCAGATTGTCAGTACCACAAGGAAAAAAACCTTTTGTTTTTTTTCACTCTTTCATCCTTGGTATCTAGCATGGTACTTTGTACAGAGCAAGTAGTCAGAAAATGTCTCTTACAATGAAGACCTGTTCAGTCCTGCAACTCAAGATGGAAGAGAAGAAGGAAGGGAGGCAGGATCAGAGAATCTATTTATTCATTCAGAAATTTACCAAATACTCATTGTATAACAGTTTCTGTGCTGGGTACTGCTTATGAAGGTAAATGGTCTAATATTTTTCCTTAACTTTTACCTAAGTTAACTTTTCCCCAGACACTACTAATTGCTAACTACATCAAAATACTTGTCTTAAATTAGTTAGGGTTATATTTTTGTGATGATCAGCAAACAGAAGAACAAACAAAAACCTAATGCCATCCTAACAAAATGAACAAATTAATGAAATGTCTAGGTAAGAGCTTTCAGGCTACTAAAACTTGGTTAGTAGGTCTTAATTCATATTTACCTATAGCTCATTTACTTTAACATATAAAATATGAAATGAGTATTTAACCTTTGTTTTGAAGTAGTGTTTAAAGTCAGTAGTCTTCTTTATTCTGCGTTTAAAGCCCTGAACAGCAGTCTTGAGACATCAAAAATACAGATACAAAACATTTTAACCAGTCCTTTAGCAGTCTTATAATATTATTTTAAACAAGAATTTACTTTTAACAAGCTGCCAACTCGTCTAAAGTATTGTCAGTAGGTGAAAAGAACATACTTGCCCACAGTAATGTGAAAGTTCCCTGCTACTTTATTGACATACAGATGACCATGAATTCTGCAAGCATCTGGAGGCTGTGATGGATCATCTTCCCTATTAAAACAGGATATGTTAGGGTTACTTACAGCATGTTCAATACTGTCATCAATATTGATCTGTAAAGATCAATTTTCAGGTAATATCTAAATATCAGAAGAAGTTTTTTGAAATCTATACATTTGTTTTAAAAAGCATGTATCTAAAAAATGGAAATCATATAATTATCACACATATATTACATTTACACAAAACTAACATTCCACAGTTCTTCAAATCTAACCAAAGGACAAAGTCCCATGAAAGAAGACAAGACAACAGGTAAAGAATAAGTCCAACAAAGACAAACTTTCATCATCTGTTTTTGCCAGTTTAGGGAACTGGGGAGGATAGGAATAGAAATGAGGTAAGGGAAAGGCAGGCCATCTAAGTTCAAATAGACAAGGACACTTTCTTCCTATGCAAATGTGAACCTTCTGTATAGTTTTAAACTTAAATGATCATTTTCATTATTATAGCATTTCCAAATATTAGCTATTCTAATCTATAAAAGAAAAAAAACCCCACAAAATTCCTAACCAAAATTTATACGTCATCATAATGGGAAATACAATTAATTTGTTCTTAAAGCATAAAATAGTTTTATATGGAGGTATAACAAAAACATATAAAAGAGAAAAATTAACTGAAAATTAAATACAGTGAACCCTGAAGAACACAAGTATTAGGGGTGCTGAAATCCACGTATAACTTTTGACTCCACCACAACTTTACACAGTTTCCTTTGGGATCTGTAGGGGATTGGTGTCAGGACTCAGGGATACCAAAATTCACAAATGCTCATGTCCCCTACATAAAGTGACACAGACCAGTGCATACAGTGGGCCCTCTACCTACGGATACCAGTGCCAGATGAAAAACATGACAGGCAGTTACTGAAATCAATCTGCATATAAGTGGGCCTGAGCAGTTCAAACTCATGTTGTTCAAGGATTAACTATAATATATTTGTAATAATCTTGATCAATATCACAGGCTATACATTTAAGAGTAAAAAAATCTTTATTAAACAGAATGATTACATTTTCCTGAGAAATATGATATCTGCATAACTAAATCAGTATTAAAATTTTGTCAAAGCAAGTTCATAATAAATAGCTGCACATTTAAAACATACATCTCACCTTGGTGGAAGTGCTGTTGAACTTTTAAAAGCACTTTTAAATAACACATCTTGAAGTGAATGTTCTTCTTGCAGTCTACTCTGAATCAGCTGCAGCATCCTAAACATAACACAAACAAAAGTTTATAAATATGGTAAGATACACAAAGAAAGCCAACCCTTAAAAAAAGTAAATAACTTAGTTAAGCCATGCATTTATTATTTTAGGAATTTATTCTAAAATAAAATACTCAATTTTCTTTGGTCATTTTTCTTGAAAGAAGGAAGAGGTGAGGCAGGGTGGCTACATGTCTAACAGCTCGGCTGCATAATAAACCTGTCTGACTCCATCAATAACAGGTGTGCTCATCTGAATATCTAAATTCATCTTTCATGTTTGCATGAAGTAATTACAAAATCTCTACTTTTTATACAGCACTAAATAAAGTGTTATAGATATTAAAAAAAAGAAAAAAGAAAAATAAGAGATCATGCAGTAGGTCTGAAAGACTTAAAGTAGAAGATTTCTGGCCTATGAAGAAGGCACAGCACCAGCATCCAATTCTCATTACAAACCAAGACACAGTGCCATTTAATATTACCTAGTGACTCCTTTTCTGAAGAAACCTGAACTTTATTCAATGATAAGACCATTCTAAACAAAATATTATACTCTCTCTATATTTTATGAAAAGAATTATCAGCATATAAAGGCAGAGGATTGTAGAAAAGTATCTACTTTCTTTTTCAATATACCTAGCCACAAAAATTAGCTGCTTGAGGGTTTTTTAAACAAAATTCTTGTGTCCAAAATAACTTATTAAATTATTTATCTAAACAACACCACCAAAAATAAAAGCCTTTCCTCTACTACTTCTACCTTTGGACCATATTATCTCCTAACATTTTCAGCAATAACTTTGTATCACCAGACATAATGCTACTTTACCTTCTTTAGTTCTATGTCTTTGGATAACTAACAACCAAAGTCATGTGTATTAAAGTTCAAGCTCAGCAACTATACAAATTATACATAAAAAAAGAGGAATGAATAGACAAAACACAGAGCACTTTTAGGGCAGTGAAACTCTTCAACAGGTACTGTAATAGTGGATACATGTCATTATACATTTGTCAAAACTCACAGCCTAACGTAAACTATGGACTTTGAGCAACAATGATGTGTTACTGTAGGTTCAAAGGCTGCATGAAATGTACCATTCCAGTGTCAGATGTGTGTAATGGTGAAGGCTGTGCAAACGTGTGTAGTTTTCACTCAATTTTTGTGAACCAAAAACTACTCTAAAAAATGAAGTTTTCAAATAAAACTTTAGAAAAATTATAAACAAATACAGGCACTTAAAAAAGGAAGCAAATGTAAATCTGATAATACTTCATATCCTATCATAATGATAAAATAAATGTTTTCCAGAAGTGCGAGATAAAACACTTATGCACCATCAATTAAAAACACTGGTAAAACAGAACTAGTTAAAATAACAAGTCACTTTTAGAATGTAAATTTAGTTCAAAATAAATCTTAAATCTACAAATAAAAAGCAAAAATCAGATAGGTTATGTCCAGGGATTGAAATTTACTTCTACAGGAGGGAGAGTAGTTAGGATGCTAAGTATTTTAAGAAAGCAGATCAATTGAAAGTAAACTTAAATCTCTTTGAGCAAATTCTAAAGGTAAAAAACATTGTTAAGTACATTATTCAGAATGGCCTTGGATAGTTCAAGTCCATTCAAGAATATTTGTTTAGAAGCAGATATCATTTTGTAGGAAGCTTCAAAAAGCCAGATCTTCAGATTTATACATCTAAAGACTAAGATCGTTGAATATAAGCTGGCAGCAATTGAATGCGTCATATTTTTGTGTCTTGTATTTCCAAAGTTCAACTTTTAGTGTTGGGCAGTGAGAGGATACGGTGACACCAAACAATATGTAGATATGTGTGTGTGACTATGTGTGTGTGACTTCTACTTCAAACATACCAACAAATATCCAAGCTTACATTCCATATATGAAGGTACATAGGAAACTCTACTATAACAGAAAATGGCTAACGTCTTATTAGTAAAAAGTTAACCCCTGCTTCCACTTATTACTAATCTTGAACAATGAATAAAATTCCAAATGAAAAATGATTCTCACTTTATTATTTCTAGATTTAAGTAACATATTTCATCTCTAGATGGCTTTATACTAAGACCGCTAGAATCCCAAATACCTAATACTTAGTTCTTTTGTTCAACTACATTCAATTTGAACTTTAATTTTAAAATCTCCCCAAATGGTCTACCTGAAAATTAAAAGAGAAAGGCCTTTGAAATATACTTAGCGATGAGAAAAAAATTTTTTAAAGATGGGTAAAAAAATATGTTTTTGTAATAATCTTAATTTAGGTAAAAGACTTTCTAAGTATAAGACATAGCCTGGAAACCAAAAACACTACACAAAAACTCACAATCTCTCGTAGAAGCAGTAGAGGAACCATTTATAACAAAGGACTCATTTTTTACCATACAAAAAAACAAAAAAAAAATTCTTTCGAGTTGTTAAAAAGAAATGACTAATTAAAACAAGTGCAATGCCATTTTTCACCCATCAAATTGGCAAAAGTACAAAAGTCTTGGTATATCCACTGTTGGTGAGGTTGTACAAAAACAGGTAATCTCATATAGTTTTGGAGTATAAACAAAACTATTTTGGTAAGATATTTGGCATTATCAAATTTTTTCTCCAATTTTGAGATATAATTGACATGTAACATTGTATAAATTTAAGGTGTACAACATATGATTTGATATATATATTTATTGCAAGTGATTATCACAGTCAATTAACAGCAATCACCATACATACTTAAATTTTTTTCGTTGTGATAATCTAGAAACTATACACACGTGCACACAAGTACCTAAAGAATTAATTAGGTTCAAGAATTTTCACTAAGCATTATTATTTTTTTTTTAATTCTCACTCAGATATTCACTGATTTTTAGAGGAGTGGGAAAGGAAGAGAGAGAGAGAAAGAGAAACATCGATGTGAGAAACACTAATTGGCTGTTTCTTGTACACACCCTAACTGGGACCAAACCCCCAACCTAGGCATGTGCCCTAACCAGGAACTGAACCTGCAACCTTTTGGTTTACAGGACCACACTTCAACCAACTGAGTCAAACCAGCCAGGGCCACTCAGAATTGTTTTCAATATTAGACTCTTGCAAGCAATCTACCCATAGTAATCACCCAATTGGATAAACTATAGTTTATCCATAAAATGGACTACTATATGTACATAAATAGGAAGCTGTACAAAGTATCACATTAGATGAAAAAAGAGCAAATTATAGAACAAACATGGAATGATCCCATTTGTATTAGGAAAAAAATAACACAAATATGCAAAAAAAAAGAAAATTATATATGAACAGAAATTTCTAGAAGGCTACACAAGAAATTTAACTCTACTTATTATCACCAGTCATTAGTACTAGGTTTATGAAACGATTACAAGGCTTTTACTTTTACTTTATAGCCTTTCTATTCAAACTGAATGTTAAATAATGATTATATACTGCTTTTTTAGATTTTTAAATAGTTAATAAAATTTTAAATAAAAACTAAAGTATCAGGGCACATGCCTGGGTTGCAGGCCATGATCCCCAGCAACCGCACATTGATGTTTCTCTCTCTCTCTTTTTCCCTCCCTTCCCTCTCTAAAAATAAATAAATAAAAATTCAAAACAAAGCAAAACAAAACAAAAAACTAAAGTATATTCATTATCCAAAGTGCACTAGAAATAGGATAAACATGGCTTTAAAATCTGATAAATTTTTTGAAAGTGTAAAGATTATATTATATACTATATTCTGCTAATATTTCATCCAGAGAAATGCTGAGAGAAATACACTAATGTATGAATAATTTACAATAGACAAAATGGGATCTAGATTTCTGTGGATCACAATACTTTGTTTACTTATTACCTCTGCCACTCTTTTTGCTGTGGTGAAAGATCAAATATGACCTGAAATAAAGGAAAACATAATCACCAACATTGTCAAATTCTCTTGGCTTTTATAATAATAATTTTTAAAAATTTTCTTTGAGTAAGAAACAAGTTTATAGTGTTCTTAAAAACAAGTATTCATATTTATTTCATCCTCTATACGTCAACCTATAAAAATTTAAATATATTTTATTTTTATTCAAAAATAGTAAAAGAAATTGTATCAATCACAAATATTTTCCTGTTAGTTATCTACGTTTATGAGAATGGATACAAGCTGGTAATCTATCATATGTACAAAATAGTATTTTAGGACTTAAAATCACTTAAACAATGCCAGCATGAAACTTCATGTATTTAAAAAGAAAAAAAAAAAGACGTACAGCTTAAGTATAATATTTAAGTTTTCAAAGCACATATTCTTGCTTGGACAATACCATAATGAAATCAACAATTTTTTATAATGACCTAAATAATAACACCATAATTCTTAATTGTATTAACAATAAAGAATAATTCCAGAAATTTTATCTGGGCATTATCTTCATCAATTTAAAATCAGACTTGGCTACTTATATAATTTGGTGAAAATAAAGTTTCTCGTGGTTTGTGGTGATATTCACAACTTAATTTTGCAACAAAAAGTCTTCTTTTGATTTTCATAAAGGCAATTTATAACAAAGCATATTAATCCTACTTTTAATTTATTAATTATCCCTCCATAATTAGGCATTAACCTACTAGTTTCTCTTTACAAATTCTTGGTTTTAAATTAAAGTGGGACAATCTCTCCCTCTATTAAACAGTTTCTGTGGCTTTGATAATTTAATTATACCAACCTACAGGAAATTTCTCCTGTAATTTAGGCCCTTCTGTCTGTCTAAATTCTATAAACCATTTGCTCTAGGTTAAATTGTCCAATCTTTCTGATTTCAGTGAAATTACTCTGATTATTCCTCCTGCTGAACTTGTCTGCAGCATGCTTCCCAACCCTTTTCACACCACAGCACACAAGGATAACACTAACACACCCATGCAATTGCTCCCATTCACCTTGTGAATAAAATAAGTGGCAGTAGAGACTATGTGATTCTTCCTTTGACTTCCCTGAAATGCTTACTATAATGCTTAGCACAAGGGGTTAAAGAAACTATTGAGTAGCCTACTTTGTGCTAGGCACTATACTACTTAATTCTTTATCTCGCTTAACCTTCATAACCATCTTACGAGTTTGTGGTCATTCTTTTCCTTTTGCATATAAGGAAGGCACTCAAAGGTTGAAATCTTTTTTTCAAAACCAGACAGTAAGGGTCAGCCTGTAAATCCAGCATTGCCAAATTCCTCACCTTCCCACATTTTCAAAAATAATTATTTTCTTTAAATAAAAAAAAAGCAATATAACATAATAGCAAATAGCAAAATAGTAACTATCATGGTATATTGTGTGATCATGGTTTGGCACTAATAAAGTTATTAGCGTTAAACTTTTAAAATCCAGAGTGGATATTAAAACAATGAATGAAAATTTGGAAGTAAAATGATCTCTTAAATAATTTTGTATTAATAATATTTATTATACTAAAGACATTTAATATTTTACACTAACTGTAGTATTTATTTTAAATATTTTCATATATGTAAGGACAAGGAAATGAATACTTACCAGAAACATTGTTAAACATTTTTAAAATTACTGATAAAGAATATACAATTAAATATTTTTAAGTTCCTAACTTTCTGGCTAAGGCATGACCTGTAATTATATGACAGTTAAATTTAAATAAAACTTTCCTATTCCACAATGAATGGAAGAGATAGCAGAAACTGTTTATAATGGAATCAATGAAGTTATCACAATTACATGATTCTAACATATTCATTAGTGCTAAATACCTACAAGGCATTATGCTTTACATTTTGTGAACTATAAAGAAAAAATAGTTAATACTTCTTAAGAGCTAAAATCTAGATAGACAAGCTATTCAGAAAAAAATATATAAATAAAATCAAGGACTTAATAAGTGGGAAGAAAAGAGACTGGGAATGACAGACACTCAGAATATAAAGAAAATGCTAGAGAAATAGCATAAATAAATTTTAGAGGATAATTTCAAGATGATTAAGTCTCATCATAATCAAATTTTCACAATGTTCAAAGAAATACAAAAATTAGGACACAATCTATGTCATCATTTTAAATCATTCTAAATTAGCATCCACATGCTAGAAATTTTCAAGAACTTATATAAGACAGAATACAAAGGAAACTAAATTGAGAAAAGAGCCCAATGCAAAATTTATTTCATGGAACAGAAAAGTACATGTAGGCAGCAAGTAAAATCTCCAAGTCAGAGGAACAAAGGACAAAACAGTTATAAAAGATAAAAAGACACTTCAGAAATAGGCAGTTTTCATCCACAGAACACTTTTAGTTCAATCTAGTGTCAAAGTCCATATGGGGAAGGCATTCCACAGTGGTGCTATTTCCTAGCTTATATGTGGCCTGGACAGTATTTTAAACTAAGCAAAAATATTACCATTGCTGGCTGCTAATGAGGACAGTTACACCATTTGAAAGAAGTCACTCTTGCTAAATTTAGCCTGTTAATGCAAACACAGAAAAAGAAATTCGGGATGTCCTGACCACTCTGTCATCCTAGACACATTTGTCACTTCCTCTTTTCCTTTCAAAACCATCTGAGGATCTAATCTAACACAGAAACACAGTATATATAACCTCCTTTCATCTAGGCATAAAAAAAAAAAAGGAGCAAGTATAACAACCAACCACACTCTATTTCAACTCCAATTACTTAAGAAGCCATTTACTTCCCTATTCTAAAGAGGAACAAGTAAATCAATTACTCAAGGGACATATTAAGAGTTATTAATTTGAAAGAAGTGGTCAATATGAAGTACTAGAGCTAATTTTCCTCTCTGATACCACTTCTAAACATAAGAAGAAAAGCGTTAGCTTTTCTAATTGTTTCTCAAACGTACTGGCATCATGAAGACAGGGAAAAAATGGAGCGATCCACAATACAGTACAGGTGGAAAATATAATCATTGAATTTTAAAACATAGTTCTGTCTGGTGTGGCTCAGTGGACTGAGCGTTGGCCTGCAACTATATGCCAAGAAATTTGAAAACCTGGGTGAAATGGACAAATTTCTAGAAATATAATCTTCCAAAACTGAACCAAGAAGCAGCAGAAAGCCTGAATAGACTGATAACAGCTGGTGAGGTTGAGGCAGTAATTAAAGGCTCCTGGCACACAAAAGCCCTGGACTGGACAGTTTCACAGAAGAATTTTACAGAACATTTAAGGAAGATCAAAACCCTATACTTCTCAGACTATTCCAAAAAATTCAAGAAGAATTTTTTGACTTCTAAACTCTCTTTATGAGGCCAGCATCATCCTAATCCCAAAACCAGAAAAAGACCCAACAAAGAAAAAAAACTACAGGCCAATATCACTGATGAACAGATGCTAAAATCCTCAACAGAATATTGGCAAACCACATCCAGCAATACATCAAAAAGACCATATACCATGATCAAGTGGGATTTGTCCCAGGGATGCAAGGATGGTACAATCTCTGCAAATCAATAAACATAATACATCGCATAAACAAAAGGAAAGACAAAAATCACATGAGCATATCAATAGATATGGAAAAAGCATTTAATAATGTACAGTATCCATTTATGATAAAAATACTCAGCAAAGTGGGAGTAGAGGGAGCATACTTCAACATAAGAAAGACCATATTTGAAAAACCTAAAGCTAACATGATACTCAATGGGCAAAACTAAAAGTTTTCCCACTAAGATCAGGAACAAGACAAAGATGTCTGCTTTCACCACTTCTATTCAACATAGTATTAGAAGTCCTAGCCACAGCAATCAGAGAAGAAAAAGAAATACAAGGCATTTAAATTGAAAAGCAGGACATAAAACTGTCATTGTTTCCAGATGACATCATAGTGTACACAGAAAACCTTATAGACTCCACCACAAATCTACTCTACCTAATAAGTCAATTTGGCAAAACAGCAGGATACAAACTCAACAATCAGAAATTGAAGGCATTTTTGTACTCCAACAACAAAGTATCAGAAAGAGAAGTCAGGAAAAAAATCCCATTTGATACAGCAACAAAAATATAAAGTACCTAGGAATAAAACTAACCAGGAAGCTAAAAGTCCTATACTCAGAAAACTACACAACACTGAAGAAAGAAATTAAGCAAGACACAAATAAATAGAAGTAAATACTGTGTTCATGGATTAGAAAAATTAACATCATCAAAGTCCACACTACCCAAAGGAATTTACAGATTCAACGCAATCCCTATTAAAATACCAATGACATATTTCACAGATATAGAACAAACATTTCAAAAACTTATATGAAACCATAAATGACCCCAAACAGCCACAGCAATTTTGAGAAAGAACAACAAAGTAGGAGGGATCACAACACCTGACATCAAACTATACTACCAGGCCACGGTAATCAAATGAGTCTGGTACAGGCATAAGAACAGACACACAGATCAATGGAACAGAATAGAGAGCCCAGAAATAAATCCATGCCTCTCTGGTCAATTAACATTAAACAAAGAGGGCAGAAGCATAAAATGGAGTAAAAATAGCCTCTTCAACAAATGGTGTTGAGACATCTGGACAGCTACATGCAAAAAAAAAAAAAATGAAACTTGACTACCAACTTACACCATACACAAAAATAAAACCAAGATGGATAAAAGACTTAAATATAAGTCACACCACCATAAAAGTCTAGAGGAGAACATAGGCAGGAATATCTCAGATATTCCATGCAGCAATATTGTCACCGATATGTCCCCTAGAGCAAGGGACATAAAGGAAAGAATAAATAAATGGAACTTTATCTAAATAGAAAGCTTCTGCATGGCTAAAGAAAACATCAGAAAAATGAAAAGGGGACCAACCGTACAGGAAAATATGTTTGCTAATGATACCTCTGACAGGGGTTTGATCTCTAAAATACATGAAGAACTCACGTAATTCTGCTCCAAGATGATAAATTAAAAACTGGGCAAAGGACCTGAACAGACACATCTCCAAGGAGGACATACAAAGGGCCCAGAGACATATATGCAAGGATGCTCAGCATCACTAGCCATCAGAGAGGTGCAAATTAAAACCACAATGAGATACCACTTCACACCAGTCAGAATGGCCAACATAAACAAATCAACAAATGCTGGTGAGGTTGTGGAGAAAAGGGAACCCTAGTACACTGCTGGTGGGAATGCAGACTGATACAGCCACTGTGGAAAACAGTATGGAATTTCCTCAGAAAACTGAAAATGGAATTGCCTTTTGACCCAACAATTCTACTGCTGGGATTATATCCTAAGGATCCAATTCAAAAGAACCTATGCACCCCAATGTTCAGAGCAGCACAATTTACAAAAGCCAAGTACTGGAAGCAACTTAAGTGCCCATCAGTAAATGAGCTGATCAAAAAACTATGGTACACTTGCACATTGGAATACTATGCAGCAGAAAGAAAGGAGTTCCTACTCTTCTCGACAGCATGGATGAAACTAGAGAGCATTATGCTAAGTGAAATAAGCCAAGCCGTGAAAGATAAATACCACATGATCTCACCTATAGGTGGAACCTAATCAACAAAACAAACAAGTGAGCAAAATATAAGCAGAAACACTGAAATAAAGAACAAAGATAGTAACAAGAGAGGCAGGGACAAGAGGATAACAAGGGAAAGAATGGGAAGGGTCATCAAGGAACATGTGTAAAGGACCCATGGACAAAACCAAACTGGGGTAGTAGTGAGGGTGGGCTGTGGAGATGGGTAAAGCAGGGGAGAGCAGTGGAGGCAAAATGAAGACAACTATGCTTGAGCAAAAATAAAAACAAACTTTTCTTTAAAAAAAAAAAAAAGAAAGGTCTCCAATTCAGTTCCCAGGCAGGACACATGCCTGGTGCCGGCCAGGTCCCTGGTTAGAGGCGTGTGAGAGGCAACCAATCTGTGTTTCTCTTGCACATGATGTTTCTCTCTTTCTCTTTCTCCCTTCCTTCCCCTCTGTCTAAAAATAAGTGAATGAATGAAGGAAGGAATGAAGGATGGACAAACTGAAAAGAAGATTGGTCCTTCTGGATCAAAATAATCTTCAGAACTCAGAGGCAAAGTTCAAAATATGTATCTAATATAAGGAGCAACAAAGATATTGAGAATAACTCCACAAAATTCAATATCATATGACAATTTTAAAAAGCAGAGGTAAAAGCATTGCTTTGAACATCATTAAAACAAATAAGCAAGCAAAAAAAAAATCCACTTAAAAATTAAGATCACCAAGAATGAAAATCCCTAAAGGGAATCCACACTTGGATATGCAGGATAAATACTTGGATTTCAAAAGTAAAAGAAAAAAGCATTCAAGTAGATAAATATATTACATAGGAAGGAAAAACAAATAATTGTTCCAGAAGACAAAGAATGTCTGTAAAATTTTGAGTGCAAAACATCAAAAAGCAAGAATGAATTTTATCCTCAACCAAGCTTACATGTATGAATAGCAGAAAGGCACAGGCAGTCATTCTAGAGTCCATAAACATAAATCACACATTCCTGCTGATAAAATCCCCCAAAATTCCTCCAACAAAGTAATAAACAAAAATCAAGAAACTAAAAATGTTAGAAAGTAAGAATAGCAACACACAGAGGTAAAGCTGAATAATCATTATTATAATAATGTAAAATGTAATGCAAATCTTGAAGTATCTTATAATAATCATCCAGATCTAAATTTTCAGACAAGTGTAATATGCAGCAACATGGTGCCTAAATTTGTAAGATACTTAACCTCATACAAAATTACTGTGATATCAATTTTTTAAGGGGGAATAAAGAAGAATGACAATAAGTTATTTCTTTAGAAATTTCTATTTGAAAAGAGTGTACCGAAAGAAATAAATATATTTGTTGTTGTAAGCTAAAAATAATTTTGTAATCAAAATGGACCTAAGGGTTCCCTTTTTTGTTCCTCAGATTCAGTTACTTCTAATTCTCCTCTATCACGTTTAGTCTTCACTTTGCAATTTTGCTTAAAAAAGTATTCATGGGGTCAATGGTAAACAAAGAACTCAGGAACGCATAGTAAATGTAAGTACCATAAGGCCAACGGAGCAGTCAGCAACTCAAGGTAAAACTACTTCTTTAAGGCTATCTCTGGTCATGACTTGTTATCAGCCTTTGTAATGTGATACCTGCCCCAGTGATGTGATGGTAATTTCTTTTTCTTTTTTAAAGATTTTATTTACCTATTTTTAGAGAGAGGGGAAGGGAGAGAGAAAGAAAGGGAGAGAAACATTGATGGGAGACAGAAACATCGATAGGTTGCCTCTCCCACATGCCCCACTGGAATCCAACCAGCGAACCCTTGCTCCATGGGAAGACAGCCAATCAACTGAGCCACACCAGTCAAGGCTGGTGGTAATTTCTGAGAAACCAATTACATTATACACAATTTGTTCCATTAAAACAATATGAGAATGTCAACTCACTAGCTTTGGGAAATGGAGGTGTGAAAAAGAAAGAAATAATGCACATGAAATTTCTCCTCTTAGAAACTGCTCCATTCTTGATTATGTTAAGAGAAATACAAACAGGACACAGAATTTCCAAATCATTAGAGGAAAAGAATAGTTCACCATTATAGCAACTCTAAAAAAAAGGGAAAAGGAAAACATTTAGAAAACTATTAGAAAGGAAAACTATTAGAAAACATTAACAAAAATGTGAAATAAGAATAAGATTATAAAACAGACATTAAAGGTTTATTCAAAATGCTAACCATGCTAACAATGATTATCTCAAGTTTTGGTATTATATACAACTCCCCCTTCTAAATTTTTACAAAGAGTATGGATTACTTCTGAATTAAGAATATATATTTTAAAAACTGGCTGAGACAAAACCAAAGAAAATATAAAAACTGTTTTCAAGGGAACAATTTCTCAAAGCACACTATTCTTAAAAATACATGAATCAAACTTACTGGTTCATAAACTAGACCATTTGCAGATGCAACCATTGTTTCTGCTAAATCCAATACATCTGCTCCAACATCTACATAAAAACAATTAGAACAAAAAATTAGAAGTTTTACATTCTATGTTAAGAGCCCAACTATATCTGATATAAACTAACAAATTAACAGAAAACTCACTTTCCTATATTGTTTAAGTTAAAATAGTAGCATTATATAGATTTGGTTGAATTATTCCAAAAATTAGTATTGTTTTTACTTCTTGCTCAGTAAAAAGACAATTCAGAATGTCACAATAACCAGTAGAAAGTTTACTGAAGAGCTCTGCAAAAATTGGTAAGAACCTAATCACGAGTACTAAATGGCTGCTACACAAAATATTAATTATAAGAATTATTTTTAGACATTAAAAAGAAACCTTAAGGCACAGCTACTGATGATTTTTTAAATATCAATAGAAACGTTTATTTGAAAAGGCTAGAATTCTAATGGTATTCAAACATCTAAAATAAGGTAAAATATGATGTATTCAGTATTAACACCAGCTCATAATTTAGATACAAAGTATTTCTCTTAAAATCACTAACATAAGGAAAAAATTAATGGCAAAGGTAAAAAGATTTAAGGTTCCTGTGATAAAATTTCCCAGAAATTAACTTCCTTAAGTGGATAATACTATTTCACGCTTTAAAAAACTTTGTCTGAACTACTAAATTCTTGGTCTCTACTTTTCAAGTGGTAATTTAAAGATAACTTTTATGCAAAAATATCATCATTTTTTGAGAGTGCTATTGATTCAAACATTACCCGTAATATAATATATTAACATTTTTTTCACTTCTACCAGTACAATCAAAACAGAAAAGAGATCACTATTAACTTCAAACACTTGCATCTATATTTTAATATGAAAGAGTAAAGGGTGATAAACTGAAAGAGTGAAGCAGGATATTCTTGAGAAACATGGGTGTAAAAACTGGTAATCCAAACAAGAAAAAAGGACATATACCTACACTAAAACTTTTATTCACAAAAATTTCCTTCAGTTTCTTTTATTTTAATTATACTAATGTGAAAGTTAAGTCTCTTTCTAAAGAAGAAATTTAAAGAATATAAATTGGGGGGGAAACCTGCATTATTAAATAAATAACACTGCAACAGCATTTTAAGATATGGTAAAGGAAAAACAGAGCTAAAATGACCAGTGGTTTTATTTTTTACTAGCAACTGTTTGAACCATACCTATACATGGATTCATCAAGTTAAAGGTATACTCACACTGACACTTCATGGCAACAGTAATATCTATGTTGATTCTCAATTTGCTAAAAGACAAAAAAGAAAGTTTAGTACCCACCAAGTAATAAAAGAACATGAGAAATATATATCAGCTCTCTGAAAAACCTGGATTTCAAGAATATGTCAATTAGAACTTAGAAAGCATTTCTTATAGCAAAAACAAAAGCACTTTGAAAGTAAAATTCTATTTTGTAATCATTCCAAAAGCCTTTCTGATTTCCGAGGTTTTTAATACTGTATCATGTAATTTAATTTTATTAAATTAAATAACTCCAAGAACCTCAGAAAAATAAGTCTTAACCTTTGTTTACATAAATCTTATTTAAAACAGTCCTTTAAAATTTCAAAATCAAGAGTTAGGAACTGCAAGCCTTTTCCTCTGTCAAATAAATACTGTGTACATCAAGCATTCTAGTTATCTTCTTTATTTTTTATCATGGACCTATAAAGTGGTGGCTTCACAGTTTTGTAGATAAAACAATGTTGTTCAGGGCAGTACAAATGCCTGGCTTAAGATCACATAATCATTGAATTGGCATTACTGGAAACTAGCTCTTGGTGACTCAATAAATGCAGCCCAATTGCCAGGAAAAAACTCTGATGCTTCAAGTTTTGCATGGCCTTTTTAAAATGCTTTATTAAATAAATGATGAGTTCAAATTAAATTGATTTTCAAATATCAGAATTAATTAAGCACCATAAATAACAGAATGAGTATAATCAATATCAGTCTTATCCTATGCTGCCTATCAAAACTTCTTTCACTCTAAGAATTTGCATCGAGTTTCAAAAGAAATTTTTAGGGCTTCAAAATAATTTTCAACAGATTTTTAGGACTTAGTAGAGTCTTAAAGTTGTCTGGAGTTCAAACTGTGCTCCAAATAACCCTGGGGTTTAGGCTCAGGAGATGCTGTAGTAACCAGAAGAGAAGACCAAGTAGACAGGCTTCTGGGTATCCCCACTAGACTTATTTGGTGAACTATGCAAGACTACATTTGGAGGGGGGGAGTGTTTCATTGGTGCTAAAAACAAATAAAATACGAAAAATAACATAGCGTTTGAAAACCCATGTTATCAAGAATAATACTCTTCATTTTATAGATGAAGAAACTGAGGCCCAAAATAAGTCAGCTGTGTGACTTATTCAAGGTTACACAGCAATTAACAAATGTCGACTCTCACTAGTGTCACAAGGAAGGTACTATAATTATTACCCCCATTTAACAGAAGAAGAAACTGAAACACATGCAGTACAGATTTGGTAACTTCCCTAAAAAGTCACATAAGCTAGCAAATGACAGAGCTCCGATTAGAATTGAGATGTAAATGTCCCTCCCATCTAGTATAATCTTAATATTATAAACCTGTTATCTGCACTCAATTAAAATATCCCAATAATACAAACAAAATAAAGTGTACTTGTCTCCTTATTAAGGCACTGTATTTTCAAATTTTAAGTGATGTTATTTACATTAAAATTTAGTTTAGATGTAATTTATAACAATCATTACAAGCATATACAATGTATCTTTAAACAGTTTATTTTCCAACTTATGCAAATCAGTAAGCTATTTCAAAATCTAAAAAGTAAACAGTTTTAAAACATTAAATAATTCCTACCATTCAATATCTTTAAAAAAAACATGTTCTCCTAATGATTTCATACAGTGCATATTATGTCAGAGAACCTCCATTTTGGAATTTAACCAGTATTCAAATGATTCTAAAATGTTTTACCTAATGAATGCAAAAATGAGAATTTATGAGAATTATTTCTTCAGAACTAAAACAAACCAAGTATGAAAATATATTGATTTTTAGATAAATAGATATTTATTAAAAAGGCATATTATCTTTAAAACAATTTGATATTTTTTAAAATGGCATATTATCTTTAAAACAATTTGAATCTAAAGGTATTTCAAAAAGAAAAAAGTTACCTAGAAAAATCTTTGTCTACTTCATATTCGTATTTCATCCATGTATCTTGATATACTGAGAATTCCATTATGGTTAATAAAGCCATAGTGGTAAATGCTATTAGAGAAACTGAGAAATCAAACAAAAAAGAAAAACAATTAAAACATTTTTTATAAGTAAATACTAGGAAATTACTTTTAGTGAGATTAAATATATCAAAGAATGCCTCCATGGGTGCCATGAGAATGAATATTATAAAAAGTTTTTCTTAAAATGTCCATGATAGATTATTTTTCCTCAAACAGCTCAGAAAATAAGATTTAATGATCAATGAACATACAAATAAACACAAACATTTGTACTATGGAGAAAGCATTTTATTTCTTCAGTATTTCAAAACACAAAACTTATGCTTTCTTACATACAGCAGTGTCACAGACATAGTAAATAATCAAAGGCGGCATCCATTTTACAGCACAAATTTGAAAATGGGCCCCTCAAATTAAAAATGCATCTATGCCTGCAGCCCAATTTTAAAAATTAGCCTAATTTTTTAGATCTTGAGAAGCCACAATAATCTGTGTGCCAGAAATTCAGATAATATACATCTCCAAATCTCTAATAAAACTCTCATCTACTTTGGAATCTCCTAAACATACCATTTCATTTATAAAAGCAGCTCAAAGACATGACAAAAAGGAAAGAACTATCATATATCTGACAAAACACACTTAAAATGGATTGTAAAAAAAGAACAAGCTAATTTTGTTAAAATTAATCACAAGAGATTAGAAATAATGAGAACCTTAGTACACATTTACCAAATAAAATGTCATTCTTATGTGAAATACTATTTTATCAGTTCTTCTCAGAGAAAGAAATAACAGGAAATACTGTTATAGTTCCATATTGTGCTTATATATTCCCTTATTTGTTTATTTTACTTAACACATACTTCTACCTGTACCAGGTAATGTTCTAAGCATTTTACAAATATTAACTTATTTAATCATTACAGCAACTCTACTATGTAAATACTGACATTGTCCCCATTTCATAGAAGAAGAAACTAAAGCAGAGACAGGTTAACTTCTTCAAGGTCACATGGTTAGGGAGAGGAAGAGGTAGGATTTAAATCGAGACAGTCTGGTTCCACAGCCTGAGCTCTTAACTATTACCCCATGTTGCCTCTCTCCAGTAAGGTGAAATGTAAGAACTTTTACTATAATGTCTAAATTGATTTGTTCTTAACCAAAATAGCACTGAGGCAGTTTAACATCATTAAATAACTTATTCCCAGTTAAATTATATTTATATACAATAATCTTGTTCATATAATCATACATAACTCACCAGAGCCAAGACAGTAAAACTGGATTAATGTTTCAATAAACACTGCTAAATGCACAGACTACACTGAGTTAGATGCCAAAAAGAATACGCACACATACACACACACTCAAATTAGGGCAAAACAGCATTACACGAGGACAGAGCAGTTAAAAAGTTACTACATTGATGAGTTTTTCCTCATGGCTATATTTCCGTATGTTATTGATTGGATCACTTGGAAGTTGCATTTAGTGAAGGTGTTTTAATTTGAATTGATACTCTCACCTGTACCCCCACTGGCTGAAGTCTCTACATAGCTCTCAGGAACCTTTGGAAAGGCATCCAACTCTTTCACCAAACTTAAGGTTTTTTTCCGATTCAGTCGCCTCATCTTCAGAAAAACCTTCTTCTTTCATATAGTCATGCTAAGGAATAAACAATGAACAAATGTATCCTCTAAAAAGATATAAAGGTTTATTTTATTTTTAGATAACTGACAAATGTCCTTGGAAGAACTTAATATTCTCATTCCTCCTTGAGAAAGAAAGCTTAACACTCATTCACACCTTTCCTTTCTCCCTCTCATCATGACAAAAAGTACTAATTAATGAGAGGCAACTTACAGACACAAACACATTAAATAGAAGAAAAAAGAAAGAAATCCACATTCATAATATTTAAATATGCAAATCAAAATAAAGATTTTTCTCCTATTACTTATATATACAAGGCCTCAGCTGGTGTGGCTCAGTGGATCAAGTGCCAAGTCTGTGAACCAAAGGGTCACTGGTTCAAGTCCCAGTCAAGGCACATGCCTGTGTTGTGGGCCAGGTCCCCAGTGGAGGCCATGTGATAGGCAACCACACATTGATGTTTCTCTCTCTTTCGCCCTCCCTTCCCCTCTCTCTAAAAATCAATCAATAAATCAAATATTTAAAAATACATAATTTATATATATAACATATCCCCACTAATAAATAGACATGTTTATATATTGACAATGAAAGTATAACTATCTACCATTCCTCTTTTCACTAATTCCTTTTTTAGGAATGTACTTAAGGCAATAATCTAGCTTATGCAGAGAAATTGAATCTTATGGATATGTCTCATATTGTTATATTTAACTATATTGAAGACAGAAACAAATCCATGGTATCCAATATAGAAATTATGATTAATTAAAAGCTCTGATTCTATGCTAACACTAAAAATCTTATAAAAGACAAAATTTAATAAGAAAATACTCATAATATTTTAAGAAAAGAACAGTAGGCTATATTATGGGTTGTTTCATGAAAGACAGGAGAAAAGATATTCAAGAAACAAATTGAAGGTTTATACACAAAAATTTTTAAAGTAGATCATGGGAGGATTTTAATTTTCCTCTTTACAAAATGTTGGACTTACCAAATTATCTAATTTTACAATAAAAATATTTAAAAATTGACTGCTATTCTTTTTCATCAGTATGCCAACTACATCTAAAGTATGTTACAAGACCATAAAAATAACTGAATTCTCAAATATTTATATAAATTTTTTATAGATTTATAGAAATACTATAAGTGATACGATAAAGCATTACCAGAAATTTTTAGTTTGAGTTTATTAATATTTTATTAATAAATTCAACTGTAGAATAAATCAAATGATTGCAGATGCCACTAAAAGGAAAAGAATCTCTAAAAAAAAAAAAAAAAAAGCAGAAAGATTTGTGTGAAATCCCATGGGTAGGGTTTATACACAAGAATAGGCCATATAGGAGGGCATTCATAGAGACAAAGGAGAGTGAGAGAAGTAAAAATTGGCAGCAAGCAATCACAAACACTGTTCAAAACAGAACAGGCCCTAACCAGGGACACTACTATGCAGTCCACGAAGGAGCTACTGCCCTACAATGAAGCTGGATGCATTTATAGATTGATTTCATTTGCCGTTAAAAACATTCAACCAACTTCCCTTGATGATTCCATGTTCACAAGGTGGACTTCAGATTATAATTTTATGTCTCATGTATATGATTTTCCTAAGAAAAAAGAATATGTAGACAAAACAGATGACATTTTCTAAGCTCCAGAAAAGTTATAAAACTGGTATTCTCATTTTTAAATTTAACTTCTCAGTGTATGTTAGGCATAGACCACAATCCTGCTTCCTAAAATTGTTCAACTGAGAAAACAATCAAATTTATTTTCTGTATCTGCTTAGTAGTAACTGCACCAAGATTGATCTTCCTTCAATCTTCCCATTCCTATTCATGCTTTCCTACTGGAGTTAAATATTAAATATATTCAATCTTCTTATCTTTACAACAAAACTTTCCACTGCAGTTCAAGTCCAACTCCAACTACTGATCTCGGACTTCATACCTATCAATATATACAAACTTAAAACAATGAGCTGTCCCCTTCATCCGTAGTGATTACTTCCTCAGCACAGGCTCACCTCTTAACTGAATTTCTCTAAGTGAAGTCATTAACAACTTCTTTAGTAGTAAATCCAATGACACGTTTAGTCTTTACCTAATTTTGCCTGTCAGAAAATACACTATCCATCACTTGTTTTTCTTCTTGAAATAGTCTCTTAAGTTGGCATAAGCAATAGTAGCCTCCTGATTTTCATTCTACCTCAAAGATCTTCTTTGGCTTACTTTGTGGATTCTTTTTCCTCCCAATTCTTCAGTAGGCCTCCCTCCCAACCTCCACAGTTTCCCCAAGTGATCTCCCCTCCCTCAATTTCCATCTACATGTTGATTCATCCCAAATCTTTACTCCCAGTCCAAAGCTCTCTGCAGACATGTATTATCTTTCTGCCTCTATTACATTTTCATGGGAACATTCCAAAGACAATTCACACTCAACAAGTCCGAAAATCAATACTTCACCCTACCAAACCTATTTCTCCTGTGCCCCTCTTAGTCAATGATGATAGCATGTACCCCAAAACACAAGCCCAAAAACACAAGCCAGAAACATGGTTACATTTTTAAACTAAAGTTCTTCCTAAATTTCTCTCAAATCTGTCTTGTCTTTTCTGAGCTCACTGAGAAGTTCCTTACTAGGATCCTGGTCCCAACTGCCAATCTATCACTTCATGGCTGCAACAATTTTTACTTTTCAATTCACTCTCCATACTATAACCAATAATCTTTTTAATACATTAAAGTGATCATATAAATTTTCTTTTAAAATCTTTGAATAGGTTCATTCCCATTACATTTGAAGAGTTTAGACTCCATCCTAACGAAGTTTACAAAGCCCTCGAAAAACAGGTCCTGCTTACATCTGTTTAAACCTAATCCCTCGAAGTCTAAATTCTACCCAAAATAAATCACTTTCTAGTCCTTCAACTTGTTCTCTCTGCCAGAACTATCCCTTCTCCTGCTCCCCCCACCTCTACACTTGGCTAACTCCTACTTACTCAGCAAGTCTCAGGCTAGACACCTCTCTCTTGGTGGGGGGGGGGCGATTCCTTTTCTATGCCCTCCAGCATACTATAGTATGTGCTCCTAGAATACTGTTTCTAATTGTTTGCTTAATTGTCTGTTTTCTCAGGAGCCACATCTAACTTGATCTTTGTATCTCCAGTGCCTAGCACAGCAGGTATGTGATAAACATTTGTGGAAGAAAAAAAGAAAGAAGGTGGGAAATTTCCCCAGAAACACCCATGGTTGCACAGCTTTCCAATCAAAACAAACCATCATTCTTAGATAAACAAATATATAAAAGTGTAAGGTCCACAAAGATAAGTTTTCTGTTTTGTTCACTGCAGTATATCCTGAGCACCTAAAACAGTGATTGGCATATAGCAGATAGTACTGTTGAGCAAATGAATAAAACTGAATTTTACTTCCTAAATTTCCTATATTTTATAAGCTTTATAGATGCTTACTTTAAATTATATGTAAGTATTAAGATATATAAAAGTTAGTTTTACAAAGCCTCTAACAATTCATATAGCCTATTCAGGACTCCTCCCTTAGCCTAGCTAGTGCTCTGGCTGGGTAGCTAAGTGGGTTAGAGCATCACCCCAGTACACCAAGGTTGCGGGTTCCATCTCTGGTCAGGGCATATACAAGAAGCAACCACTGGATACAAGATGGGTGGAGCAATGGGTGGATGTTTCTTTTTCTCTCTCCCTCTGCTCCTTTCTCCCTCTTCTTCTCTCTCTGGAATCAGTTAAAAAAAAATTCTAGCTAGTTGATCTATCTCACTTGGCTGCTTCTCAGTCTCTAGCCTCTTCCGTTTCTACTTTCCATGATTACTATTCTAGAATGGAGTACCCTGACACTCTACTGCTACTCCTGTCCCACTCCTGTTAGTTCAGCACTAACCTACATCCAAGAAACTCACTACATCTCCAATACTTGCCACTCTATTTTACAGAGCCACTGTTCTGATATGAACAAGTTATCCAATAACAAGTTTGTCTAAAAACAATCCTCCTACCTGCTCTCAATATGAAAACATGATGTACAACTGGTAGTTATTCCCTTTAAATAGTTACTTTATTTCTGAGACTCAAAGGGTAGAAAAAGTAGTATGTTTTTTCATGATTTCTCAACCACTTCCTCCCTTTTCAAGTCTATCTTCTAATAAACACATATACTACATAGAATTATTGTCTAACTTTTATATTATGTGCTAAGTATTATTTGAAACACTTTATATATTAATTCATTTAATCCTCTAAATGACTCTATGAATTAGATACTATTTTTATCTCCTTTATAGATAAGGATACTCGCATAGAAAAGTGCAGTCATTTTTGCAAGGCCACTTAACAGGTGATAGAACCTGGATTTGATCTCCAACACCCTGGCTTCAGAGTCCATGTTCCAAACCATAGTGTACACTCTCACTTTAGCACTTGTTATCATTTTCTCCACCTGGATATACTTATAATTTCCAAGAGAGATAAATGGTGACAGAAGAAGACTTGACTCAGAGTGGTGAACACACAATACAATTTACAGATGATATATTATAGAATTATACACCTGAAACCAATATAATTTTATTAGTCAATGTCACCCCGATAAATTCAATCAGTAAAAATTTAAAAATCCCCTAATGACTTCAGCATCTGGATCACTTACTTTGCTTCTCCCCCATTCCACCACCATCTTTTGGAACTCACGACCTGATGACACTCACATCCTATAGTATTCCTCCACCACGTAAACGGAACAGATGTACTCCAGTGACCTGCCTCTTCTACACAAAGCCTCACACTCACACAAGAAAGCCATGTTTTATCTCCTCTTTATTTTTAAAACTATTCCAAGTCTCTAAAATCCAAGACACTAACTTTCCTCTCTAAGCAGAACCAATTATCCTTCCAGCTCTGTAACTGGCTCACTAGGACAGAATCTGTTCTCCATGTTCCCTGTGGTCTCAGTCCCTGGACTCCTCTGAGTTACCCAGTTCTATTGCTCCCTTGCCCACTCTACTTGTCTCTCTATCCAGTTTAGTCAGCCATTTAAAAAAATGCAAAAGTCAAAAGGTCTTTTTTTTTAATGAAATGATAAAAGTGGATAACATAGGTTTGGTTTGGTTTTTTGATGTCCTTCTTTAGAAAAGTTAAAAACTGCAGTTCTATGACAGTCTTCAAATCCAGCCTCTCTTCATTTTTTCTTCTTCTATATATATTTAGTACTGCTCCACAAAATCTAAAAATTTAGGAGCTATTGCACTAGATTACTTTGCCCACTGGTTGGTGCTGCTCTTCAATCTCCAGTACCATATCTGTTTTCTCCAATTTCTCTCCTAAACTGCATACATGATAAAAAATAAAACAAATAAAAAAGCTCCAGGAAAAGACAACTGTCACTAGGACAATGCTTTGAGAAACTGCATAGGAAATAAGAAACCACCTTTCATGCTGGAACACAGAGACACACACCATCAACCTCAACAGATGCAATGTCATACAGCCCATGTTTTATCATTGAATCAATCTGAAAACAATGAGACTATCAGATGCTTTGCCAAAATTAAAATATAGAATTCATGACTTTTTAGTCCACTCAATTAAGTTTTCTTACCTCTCCAAACAAAAATGAACACATAATTTATCTTCAGCTACCTACATTTTATAAGCTAACTTCTATTTTTAAAATTTATTTGGCAATATGAGAAATATTTAATTGGTTAATAGGTATATGGATATGTTATAGGTGGAACTGTGTCCCTCAGAAAGATATACTGAGCCCTGACCAGTGTTGTTCAGTTGGTTGGGCATCGTCCCGCAAACCGAAAGGTCACTAGTTTGATTCCAGTCAGGGCACAAGCCTGGGTGGAGAGCTTTGTCCCTGGCTGGAATGTATTCAGCAGATAGATGTTTCTCTCTCACACCAATGCTTCTCTCACTCCCTTTCTCTCTCACTAAAAAGAAATAAATAAAAATTTTTAAAAAGATATATTGAGCTCTGGCCAGCATGGCTCAGTTGCTTGGGAGTGTCATCCATAAAACGAAAGGTCACAGGTTTGATTCCTGGTCAGGGCACATGCCTAGATTGTGGGTTCTCAGTTGGAGTGCATGTGGGAGGCAACCAATGTCTCACTCTCACATCGAGGTTTGTCTCCCTCTCTCTCTTCTATTCCCCTCTCTCTAAAATCAATAAGCATGTACTCAGGCGAGGACTTAAAAAAAAAAAAAGAAGATATATTGGAGTCCTAACCTTGTGGATGGGCCTTATTTAGAAATATTTGGTTCTTTGAAGATATTATTAGTTAAAATGAAATTATACTGGATTACAGTGGCCCAAAATCAAATGACTGATGTCATTAAGAAATCCATGTGAATCTACACAGTAGCCAATAAAGAAAGAAGAAGCAAAAACATGTGAAAACATCCAGACCCAAGAAAGAATGTCACGTGAAGATAGAGGCAGAGATTAGATACAAGTACAAGCCAAGGAACGCCACAGATTGCCCAAATGCTAGAGAAGGCAAAGAATTATTCTTTTTCAGAGCTGTCAGGGGGACGGTGGCCCTGCTGACACCTTGACTTCAGTCTGCAAGCCTCCACAACTGTGAGAGAATAAATTTCTATTTTTTTAAGGCACCCAGTTTACAGTAATTTGTTAAAGTAGCCTTGTAAACTAGTAAAAGCCTTTAAAAATAAGAAAGAAGACAAAAGAAGTATCCAGGCTATTACTAAACTTTAGAAATGAAAAGCAAAACTATAACTTATCCATAATTTCACATTATTTAATATTATGATACATTACAACAAAATATTTCTATTAAAGATAGCTTAGTATCAATCTATAAACCTAGATATCCAAAAGAAGTACTTATTCTTTTTACTTTAAAACTTAGTTAAATGTAGCCCTGGCTGGCGTAGCTCAGTGGATTGAGCGCGGGCCAATCTTTAAAAAAAAACTTAAATGTTATGTTTTCAAAATTATTTATCATCATATAATTCAAATAAATCTAATAACCTTCTAAGTGATTAAAAGGTTTACTTGGAAGCCAAGTATGATAGTATAGAGATAAATTTTGTGATCAGAAAAATCTGGGTAATATTTAGGCACTTGTTAGTTGTGTGGCAAATTTGGGAATACCTTCAACTTCTCAGAGTCCTCTATTATCATTTTATATTAAAAGAAGGGATAGGGATATAATGGCTACCTCACAGTTTTTATTCAAGATTAAAATAATAGTCATTTAATAAATGTCTGTTTCTTTTTTCTTTTTTTTTCTTTTTTAAAGATTTTATTTATTTATTTTTAGAGAGGGAAGGGAGGGAGACAGAGAGAGAGAGAGAAACATCAATGTGTGGTTGCTGGGGGTCATGGCCTGCAACCCAGGCATGTACCCTGACTGGGAATCGAACCTGCGACACTTAGGTTCGCAGCCCGAGCTCAATCCACTGAGCTACGCCAGCCAGGACATAAATGTCTGTTTCTAATTCTCAAAATAAATGCAAAGATTCGTAGGATATTTGAGGGTTATGTTAAGTCTTTAAGGAAAATGGGAGAATATATGAGATTAGTTAATAACATGGATAGACTGCGGATGATATAACTCGATCAAATAAAAATTAAGGGGAGGGACTGTAGAGTGATGACCGCACAAGTGCCCAGTAGCAATGTGAACCAAGGACAAAAAAATAGCTTCACTATAGTAATTACTCAATAAAAGTGTATGAAATTTAAGTAAAAAAGGAATGGTAAGGAAAAGGTCAGAGAAACATGAAATATTATTTACAAGGGAACAAATGTCCCCCAAAACAAGGAGAATGGGTTAACAATGCACTTAGAGAGCAACAGTGCTGACCTAGACTAGAATAAGACTACATGAAGCAGTAGGAAGGAGGAATGTTTACCTTAGAGAAGATAACAGCTTAAGAAAGAAAGCAAATGGAAGATGGAGTTTAAAGACATATTAACTACCCATATAAAATGAGTGTTTCATTAATTTGGGGGTCAGAAAGAATTTTTTTAAAGTCTTCTTCAGTCTGTATTTTGACTAAGTACAAGCCAACATTTTGTGAGTAACCTTACAAGTTAGAAAACAAAAATTTAAAAATAGCAAGAGCTAACACATAATGTATGTTAACTTTATGCCAGGCATTGTTCTAAGCACTTTGCATGTTTTAACTCGTTTAATCCTCACCAATCACCACATGAGTTAGGCATTATTATTCCCATTTTGCAGATAAGGAAACTAAGGCACAAAGAGGTTAATTTGCCCATCATGACATTTAAGGGGCAGAATCAGAATACTGAAAACTGTTAACCAGCAAGAAGAGACTACCCGAAAGTAACTTTTATTAAAAATAAAATCACTATTTCTTCTGATTAATTATCACTAACTCCCAAAGAAAGTATTTTTTTCCTAATTCTTTTTTGTTGGTGTTGTTCCAGAGTAGGCCTAATTTCCTTTGATAGAGCTTTCAAGCTTGATATATTTTTATAATATGTACCCTCAAGCCATTACAATACTCAGTTGTGTGGTAAACTATTCTCAAAAAAAAGAAACTCATCCCCTCCGCTATCTCACCTCACCCTCAAAACCATGGATTTCTTTTTCTCATGTTTTTCCTCTGGCACCTGGAACAACTGCATCAATTTAAATATATCAATAAACAAATTTAGTAAGCCAGTATGTCCTGAATGCTTCTGTGAACAAGCGTCTGACTTCTTTCTTCCTTTATAATGCCTGTATACTCGAGTTCAACGTATCACTTGAAACAAATGAATACATCTTGCTTTTTTTCAAGTATTTTAATAGCTTCTGAAAGCTAGTCTTGCAACATTTTAATAGATATTATGTAACTTTGCGTTGTCTCCAAGACACTAAATCCTAAATACAAGTTACTTAAACGTGTTTTCTCAAATAACGATCTTTCTTTCAACTCTATAGCCTTTACCCAAGGCTATTCTCTACCACGGGCTGACAAATTGCTTTCCAAGGCTTTCTTAATCCTTGAAGGTTTAAACAGTGATTCTCGTACCTGTCTCTCCGGCAACATCTCTCTCACCTGCCCTGCCCCTTTCCCATTTTTCCAAGCAAGGTGCGAAACTCTCCTTCCAGGCGAGGCCAAGACCTCGGTCTTTCTTAAAAAGAGGAACAAACTTGCTGCCAAGAATTTGATATTTGTCTGAATGATGGTGGGGAGACAGACACCTGGAACGATCGGTATACAACCCATATGGTCTTTACAGCGCGGGACTCTCCTCGCCTGCTGACGGGAGGAGCCTCCGGGGTACCGGGCACTGTGAGAAGCAATGGGTCGGGTCAGAAGCTACCAAGGAAGCATCTAAACTCCTTCAAGCTGAAATATAGTTCAGAGAAACCGAGCCGGCGAGACGGGAGCGCCAAGGCTTAGCGCTGCCCAGGGTCCTGCCAGTAACGCCCCCGGGGGAAGTGGAGCGGCTAAAGGGTCCGGCCGGCTCTCCAGAGGACAGCGATGAAGACACGGAGCCAATTCCATGACAGGTTCTCAGCCCCCTTAACTACACTCACGCCCGCAACATCCCTGGAACAACCGAGAGAAAAGCACCCGGCAGGGTTTCAGTGTTTTACCTTGTGTTTCGGTCCCAGCCGACCGCCATGTTTCACAGAAGCCCGGGTCGCCCGGGCTCCCGTTCACCCGGAAATATCGCGAGAACAAAAGCAACTACGACCACCGAGACTATCAGAAGGGAAACAATGTAGAGTTCTCGCGATAGGCCCTTGGTTGACAGTGTATCTTGGAATCAAGAGGCGTGGTCAAGATGAAAGGGGCGTCACTAAAGAGAACCGAGTTTGAAACTTATTTTAGGTGTAACCACGTGGCCAGTAAGGAATCAGCTCCTCCAGGAAGGGATAGATTACCGTCTAAGAGACCACAGAACTAATGTCTCTCTACTCCTCCTACTGTACTACATTATGGATGAAAGACTTAGGCGTGGGTTGTGTATCGGTCCTCTTAACTCTGCACCACGTTCTCCGCCTTAGCCTGTATACCACACCCTGCCCGCGCTGAGAATATTTAAACTTACTTTTCAGGACATAGGCAACACTTCTAATTATTTGGTCAATGCCTTTGTCTTCCAGATAGTATGCTCCCTAAGAAAGAGCATTTGTCTTTCTCACCCTTATATTGCCAGTATGTACTATGCACTAAAATATTTCTTCAGAAAAATTAAAACTTCATTCATCTTTTCCTAACACTTCACAGTATAAGAGGTAATAGAAGGGACTTTGGGAAGAAAGGGAACTATTTGAGAGTAAGCATATCTGTTATTAGATCTCCCAATCAAGCATTTAGGTTTTCGGATTGACCAAAAAAGTCTTACAAAGGCATAATGACAACTAATACTTATACAGTAAGCACTGTCCCCCCGCCCCCCGTAAGTACTATTTTAAATGCTTTACTTGCCTGATTTCATTTAAAACTGCAGACAATACCATTATTTCCCTGTTTCATAGGTAAGAAAATTTAGTCAAGTGGCAGTTAAATGATCTACCCAAAGTCAGATAGCTGGAAGAGGCAGAGAAATATATTGACCACAACACTAAACTGCCCTTTTATTTAGTGAATTAACCTTTAATGAAATATTAAATTTTACTAAATTGAAACTATCCCAGAATATAAGGACAGTTTCCACCGATACAATTTCATTTCCAGTCTTTCCTGTCAAAAGACTTTAGTCAAAAAACTTTAAATCGACTTAAAGTTGATTTGTTTCTACCTCCCTCACATTTTTAAGCAGCAGCATCATGAAATGGTTAACCTCATAGACACAGATAAATTAAGTGTTTTATAAACAATTGAAATACCCTATTTTATTTAAACATCAAGTGGTAATATAACCCTGATAAATAATTTCTTAAATAGCCATTGCTCATTGAAATTGTGAAACAGGGACCTCTCCTATCTGAGTGCAGGGTATTATTCTGCTTGAATAAAATTAACAATTTTATGGACTGAATAATATTTGACTCCATGTCTTCCAATCTTTACCAAACTAGAAAAATAGTGAAAGTGTATATTATGGTATTCAACTATGGCATATACATGTTACACTAAGTATGAACTTAATAACATTTCAGATTGTAAATTCCCAGGAGGCATGAAGCAACATTAACTTTCTGTGACTGATGTTTAATACTGAACATATGAGATATACCAAATCCAAGTTCTTCAATACAAGGATTGAGGGAAGTGACATTGAATGTTTTTGCACTGGTAAGAGACTCATTTCCAAGTATACTGTTATGTGTTTTCTTTCCCATTTATAACACAATTCCATCCAGCTTCTGTCTCAGTGATCATGCTTCTCTTCAGTGACAGATGTGATCCAATCCCTGTGTGCAGAAATCCGGGTGAAGACTGTCGATGCAATGGGATTGCAGTTACTGCTTCCCCAGTTCACAATACAGTTGAGTCTGTACTGCCCATCCTGGGCACACTGCAGCAGTCCTCCAGAATCTCCCTGCAACTGATACAAAGAGAAGTTCTCCTGGCTGCATTATTCACAGTTGGAGCTAACCCCAAGGGCAGAGGATGAGCAGACAGTGTCTTGACTCTGATTTCTGTATAGGAAACCAGAACTGTCAGGTCGTTAGATGATGTGATATATATATAATCTGAATCAGATCAAAATCTGTATTTTCAAGGAGAGGCTAAAAGAGACATTGAACATAAACTCATTCAATGCCAACAATAAAGTGTTCCATGAGGAAAGTCTCAAGCATCTACTAAATACAATGACTAAATGATAGTTTTGAATTACGTGAAAACATCTTAATGAATGTCTTTAGTACTACTAGAAGTAGGTACTTTGAGCTACCTAATTCATCTATGAAATCAAACCATAAGAAATTATTATTTTTGTATGTCAAAAAGAGTTGGATATCATTAATTTCACATAGTTTAACTAAACAAATGATTGAGTAATTCCTTTTGAGACTTGAGTCCACTTCAAGTATCAAATTAACAGTTGCAGCACATCAACTTAGCAACATACTTATTCCTCTCACTTTTCATTTAAAAACTACCATACATTTATAACTCCTTATCGTCAGCAAACACCCATTCACGAGACACACTGAGAAGAAAGCTCCTATACTCATCAATGCAATCCTTGAATTACCATGCATGAGGATGATCCTGCAGCCCCTCCACATATGTTGGTGTTTTTAATATCCAGTCCCCAGTAGCTTCGACAAGATGTACTACTGATCAATGGTACTTTTGTCTGCTGCACAATTTTAGAAAATTCATCTTCTAGTAGAGAAGGAATAAAAATACATATTATCTAGGCAAAGGCTTTTAAAAGATAAAACAACAACAAAAAAAGCCCCGTGTTGTAGATAGACTTCAAAGGTTAAATCACACTATTTTTTCCTTTCAGCAATGTGATGGTGCTGTTAGCTGACTTATTAACAACAAAAAAAAGAAAACCAAAGAGCTGCTATTATTACTACACAATAGCTTATATAACAGATATAATAACAACAAAAATGTTATGTGGGGTCTTTTTCCTTTAGTACAGTCCTAAGACAACAGAAAAATAGTATCATTTTTTAGAATTTTTAGAAGAAAAATGATAAAGTTTACACCCAAACTAGTTGTTGATAAAGGAAACAATACAGTTAATATTTTACATGTTAAATCTATAATTCATTCCATTGTTTTCAGGGTGTTCTCATTCTTTTGACTAGAATTTTGCTTAACAGATGTTTTGTCTAAGTGCTGACACTGACTGGAGCTGTCAACTGAAATTGCTTTGTGATTTAGTCTGTCATTCATTGGATGTTTGTAAACTGTTAATTCAGCTGTAGAATACAGTGAAAGTGAGACCAGAGTCATGAGTTGATCTTTATATGGACTAGTTATTTGCACATAATCTTTATACACATTTATACCATTATTACCAGCCTATCATTTCAGGAAAATGTCTCATATCTTTGGGAATAGGCTCATATCATTTTTTTTTTTATTTTTTGAGACAGAAGGAAAGGGAAGGAGAAAGAGAGGAAGAGAAACATTGATGTGAGAAACACTGATTGGTTGCCTTTGGTCCAGACCGGGGACAGAACCCACAACCCAGGCATGTGCCCGGACCAGGAATCAAATCAGTGACCTTTCTTCACTTTGCAGAAAAGTGCCCAACTGACTGAGCCACACCAGCAAGGGCTAGGCTCATATCTGTATGTATGGATTTTCACAGTAGTGGCATATTGTTATGAACACAATTGTGTGTAAGCATGTGTGTGGTCAAAGAGCAATTAGGGAATATTTACATATAAATGAAACACAAATATTTATTAGATGATATAATTACTAGATATACTCCAACACACATTTTTACAAGTATCGATGAACTATACTATCAGTGAACTAACATTAGTGAATATGATGGCCTAAAACACAAGCAGTCACTTGTAGATCCATAAGGAAAAAGACTTTTTCTACTATTATTCCTATAAAAATACAGAAAAAAATTGAAAATAAGTAATATACTCAGACTTCACATGTATTTGGATTCTAATCCAAATCCAATCATAAAGATGAGAAAGAGCCCTGGCTGGCATAGCTCAGTGGATTGAGCTCGGGCTGCAAACCAAAGTGTCGCAGGTTCAACTCCCAGTCAGGGTACATGCCTGGGTTGCAGGCCATGACCCCCAGCAACCACACATTGATGTTTCTCTCTCTCTCTCTGTCTCCCTCCCTTCCCTCTCTAAAAATAAATAAATAAAATCTTTAAAAAATATATGAGAAAGAAAAATGAAAACTTTTTTTGTCCATAGGATTGATATTAACATTGTTTGCTTTTTAGTGATGACTCTAGAAATATCTACTTTGACCCATACTACCCTTTTTAACACTGTAATTTAATAAGTAAGTCTTCAAGAAGATAATATCTGTTAATTTCACAGAAAGGATCATCCCAATTTACATGTTACCACTTTGTTCCATGTAGTTCTGTATCCTCCTAGGACCACAGAAACACATGCTCTACCTGGGGATGTGGGTTTCCTGCTTTCTCATCTACAGCCATTTTTTCACATGTATCTGCCTTTTTGTCCATGTGCCTGCAGGACATCACCTTGTTGAATTTGAGATGACAGTGGAGGAGAATATAATTATCTTCTTTTTTCAACTACAGTACATGAGGAATGGGGAAAACCACATTTGTAGCTACTTAAAACCTTTTACCTATTTTTATAGATAATACATATTTTATATCTAACAAAGACATAATATATAAACTATATTTACACATTATACATTTAAACATTCACATTTTTTATCGTAAAAATTTGTGCACACACAAATACTGTGGGCTTATATGTGTGTCTGTGTGTACACACCCTACACACACGATGCGCTGAATGCAGTGCTCCTGTGTTTGTTTTCCCACAATGCTTCACTTCATTCTTATGCAGATTTTACATACATAAATGCTTCAGCATACCTGCTGTCTGAGGCCATTTTAAAAATGATTTTTCCTTTATTTTTACTGGTATCTCTTAAAATCTTGTCTATTCTTGTGCTGTTTATCTCCATATATGTGCCAACTGCCTCCAAATCTTATGTTATACTGCCTCCACAGACTGTCATTGGTCTATCATATTATTTCCTGCCAAATGTCCTGTGGCTACAAGAAAACATTTTCCCTTTACCTACATATCTTTAATTAGTCATTTTTCTCAATAT